GGGGGGGCGTGATTCGTGATGTTCATCGGTCGCGATCTACCGCGAGGCGGCGAAGGGTGCCCGCCTCTCTATTTGCTACTCGCGTCGATTGAAGATCAAAGACCGAGGATCTCGCGTCCATACGACGATTTCTGGGGCTGGGTCTCCACTTGAACGAACGAACGGAGCTCACAAGTGAAGCTCTCGTTTTTCGATAGACTGCGGTCGCTCGGGGAAAGAGGAGAGATCGGAGAGAAGTTGGGCGCTTAGAGGAAGATACGCGCTTAGAGAGAAAGTTCGTTACGAATTGCGAGTCGAAGAGGAGATACAAGTGGAGCGAGTTAGCTACGCTCGATCGTTTAATCCTAAAACGCACTGTGTTCGATGTTAATTTTAGATAGAGGAGAGAGATATATGTGCGGTATAGTTTAGACGTTAATTACGCTTCCCTTCGTATGTTGCCTGGAGCAAGATACGAGGAGCTAACGAGTAGTGAATGAGTGAGAGGGAGGGAGGGTGGGAGGGAGAGAGAGAGAGAGAGAGAGAGAGAGTGAGAGAGAAAGAGAGAGAGAGAGGTCTGTAAGTAAGTTGTATTACGATAATAATTTCCCAAGTTGTATGCGTGATCGGAGAATTATTATGCGGTGTTGTTCGGGGTCCGGTGTTGTTCTCCGGGTCTCTAAGTCAGACGTCGTAGGGTTAAACGAACCGTACTTTAGAGCCACGTTGTGTACACTAATGCAAAGTATATGGAATTGTTGATTGAATATTATGGAAAATACATGGAGCATCGAATCACCTGACCAGCTGCGTTTCGTTTCCCTCCCATTGCTATTATCCTTCGGCGCCCATCGCGTTATCTACTGTCGAGGATTGATGTTGGATGTTGTACGTTCTCGTGTGACTTTGTATCGAGTCAAATCATTGTAAGGACCAAAAAAAGTTTTAAATTGAAATTTCCCTCGAATAGAAAGTAGAAAATCAAGCATACCGTGAACTTAACGTGAAAAAATTATGAACAAAGACTGTGTTGAAGAGAACTTAACATCGATATATTTTTTTCCACTTATTTATTTTATTTTTTATTTTTCTTTATAGCTTTGGATCGCAATTTATTTCTCTCGCTCGCAGGCAAAGGCAAAAGAAGTGGATTTCGAATTGCAAATTGATTTCTTCCGGATTGTTAAAGAAGTAGATACACGGAGTAATTGACAATCAAGAGACGGTATACGTTGCAGAATCGAGTCCTTCATCCGTCGAACGTTTACGAGAAAAAGCCACATCGCGATTTCAGGACGGTTTATCGTTCCTCAAGATCTATACATGTTCGCTAATTTGCCGATTGCTTTCGCTTTAGATCACATCGCCGCGATAGTCACGGTCGCGTCGCTCGACAACTCGTTCTCGGGGTCCTCCACTTCTGTCCGAGTCACGCGAGCGGAAGAACGAGCCCCTTGAGAACCCTTTCCTTCCTCCGAATGCAGGAAAAAAAGACTTGTCGACGAAACAAGCCGGCAATCACCCCCCCTTTCCTCCTTTCCCTCGCGAAACGCAGCGGTGTCTCTCACGATATCTTCCTCGAGCTGTCGACTCATGAGAAGAACGAGTTCACTCGCGACAACAGATTTCCGAAATCGTCTCTCTTTACGTTTTATTCTCTGTTTACTTTTATTTATCTTTTATTTTTCTTTTTTTTTAAATTTATGTTTTATTTTTTATTCGTTCCTATCTTTACGGCTCTTTTTTCATGATTTTCTCTTTTTCCTTTCCTCAGGACGCCCTGATGGACTCCCGCAACGTGCCTACGTGCCTGTTACCAAGGAACTTGACGTCCCCGTTGTCGGTCAACGTGGACAATCAGACAGTGCCGCAGTGCGTGGACGTGAATAGCGTTGTATCTCTGGACCACTTTAGCCCAGATACCAGAAGACAGTTGAGCGGGCCTTTTACCGGCGGCGGCGGCAGCAGCATGGCGTCACCGCCAACGTGCGCGATGTCGTTCGACAGCTTGGACTACGATGTCGGTGGATCCGCCACGTGCCTCTTGCAAGTTGGCCCAGACCTACTCGGCGGCTTGTTGGATCGTAATGTGGTGTGAGCGCGCGTATAGAATTGTAAATTGTAACATTGCCTTGAGCGTATCGGCGACCGGACGAAATTAGAAGCGGTCAGACACTGCGGACGTGTTTAGCCTGCTATGAGACTATCAGTGTCAAATCTAAATCTTGTTAAGATTAAGTTGGTTGAAACTAACTAACAGGTAGGGCTACTTTCACCAAACTCAGATCGAACTAATCGATGAATAATAATAATAACTGCCAATACCAGTTTCCAAAGGACCGAAACCGTTTGTATTTATTTAGTAACTACGTTATTTGTGACGATTATGTTGTACTATATTATTGTAATATAAGTACCTGTACATACATTAATGGCTACTGATTTTCTTGTTGATAGAATATCAATCTTTACATTTTCTTATCAATTTGCAGTTCTATCATTTGTCGTCTAACAATAATCAGTGGTGGATTTATATAGGAACTAATAATGCTAAAGCCAGAACCATTTCGGTCCCCCCTTTTTTTTTTTTATTAACTCTAAGGAGCCCCTGAAATAGTATTAATATCAGGCCTTGAAAAGTCACTAACCGCCATTGATAATAATATCGAAAAGTTAAAAAAAAAGGTTAAAAAATGTCTATCTGCATCAACAAAATAGAGAGAAAGTAATATTATATATACTATATATATTATGTTGTATATCAATATAATATTTCAATATATTACTAGCAGCAATTTTAAATCAGAGTTTGGTTAAAGTCATTTAGGTTTTGGGAATAAACGATTGCGCATTGGAGTTTAAAGAATTAGTGCTGTCAGTTTCGAGTACTCGAATACTCGAGTAATGTGGATATCCGGGTACTCGAGTGTAAAAATTCCTGGATTATAGATTCGTACTAACAGTTCTCTATTAAAATTTGTAAATAAACTAAATAACTACCGTTAGAAAAATATATCTTTATGTAGAATTTATAGGTATATTAAATTAAAAAATTTTAAATTATTAAATTGTATAATAATTGATTCGTTAAGTAAAGTTTTTACCATAACTGCTAAGGATAACTGTTTAATAAAAACTTTTTTACTTAGGTAAGGATCTAACGAATCAATATATGAGAATGTCACATTAATATCAATAAATTCTAACTAATAATACGTACAACCATAAAACAAAGATTGGTGAAATATTGGTCGATAGCAGAACAACAGTCCACAAGTATAAACAGTCTATAAATATAAGCTTGTAATTAATTATATTTGTAATAAACAATTTTGGAAATGATTTCCTATTATTAATTATTAATAATATCTTTAAATAAGCAATCTTTATTCTTTCAGAAATACATATCCATTATAAGTCCATTAACAGTGACAATGTATTTTTAAATTTATAATATTTTTTTTTATTTTAATATATAAATTGTACACAAATATCTCGATCTGGAGTGAAATAATTCTTTAAATGTGGGTTATCTCATTATCATCAATTTTGCTAAAATTTGAGCCTATTTAATTTTATCTATATCCGAGTAACGTAAGAATACATTTAAGCTTTCGGCTTATAGTATTTAAAAAAATAATAATTTATTAACTTCTTTAACTTATATCACCTTTCTTCAATAAGTATGGTGGCGGCTCGTAGCGGAGACTTTGGAACTAGTACAAATAGCGGGTCTAAAAATCTCTCCGAGGTAGACCCGTTATATTTATTAGTTCCGAATTTTCCGCTATGACATAGGTCGGATAGGCTTAGATCCTAGACCATGTACACACTTTTTGTACACCATTTATTTTCAATAAAAAAAAAAGGGAACGTGATATGAATCAACAACAAGTCAGACGTTTGCTTTATCTTTCAAGTAGTATGACCCAACAACTGATTAGACGTACTTTTAGGCTACATGAAGCTTTTTGCTTTAACGTTGAATAATTCGATGGGAAAAAAATCGTACTACGATACGCGAATCTTTCAAGTAGTATGACCCAACAACTGATCAGACGTACTTTTAGGCTACATGAAGCTTTTTGCTTTAACGTTGAATAATTCGATGGGAAAAAAATTGTACTACGATACGCGAATATGCAAATTATATAGGAGAGCTCACACTTTTAAATGGTATAAATCTGATTTGTTCATATTTTTTCATTCTTCTCGAACTATCTTATAATCGTTATTTTTTCCGAAATTATAGTTTATTGAATTTTTTCTACTTTTTATGATTGAAGGAATGATCTTTTACTTTTGCGCGTAGTGTGTTTTTTTATCATGTTATACGTATACGTACCTAATAAAATTTAATAGTAAAACTTAATAGCATTGAATGAGAAAAATGATCAGCTTTAGAATTATTTAAATTAGTCGAGATTATCGAAAAGAGAATCGATCCTTGAAGAGAAAATTGAATCGAATATCGATATACTCGGTCGATACTCGCCCATACCTCAAATTGTTTGCAATTCACGCAGCATCATCGATAGGATTCCTGGAACTATTGGTTGGAAAGAGAGAGAGGGAGAGAGTATTGTCGATAACCAAAACCGGTGGTGATCGTGCTGGTTAGGTTAAGTTAGGTCAGAAGTCATTATCCCGGATTTCGCGCGGTTTGTCGCGACAGTTCGAAGAACAGAAAGAATTGACTAAGTACTGGTGTTTCTTCCTTTCGTCATGGACGTGTTGACACAGCACTTGGGAAAGATACGTATACCGCGGCCCGGTGACAAGATATATAAGGACGAGTGTGTTTACTCCTTTGACACGCCAGTAAGAACGTCTCCTTCGTCCTTTGTCTTCTGTGTTGTCCGGCGATATCCTCGACGAAATCGTTACAAGCGAAACATTTCTTTTCAAGGACACGCCCACCGGTCTCTATGTTAGTCTCACTACCTTTGTGGGCTTGGGCCAGGATCACGTTCTGCGATATCACCGGCAGACCGGCAATCCTATTTTCCTTCACATAAAACGTACAAAAAAGGAGGTAATTTCGATTCACTGAGTTTTCGGTGAACAAGTTTCAATGAAAAGAAAAAGAAGTGTTTGAGATACTGTTCAATTGGAAAATTTTGCAGATCCCACCTGCGCAGCAAGGGGATGGTCCTGAAAAGAAGATCACCAGGCTTGCTATTGGAACAGCCGGTGGATTTACTCCTGACCAACAGAAGTATACTTATCACGAGACTTACCAGATAGTCATTCTACCGAACTTCGCTACTCTTGCTTATCCATCCAGCGATTTACCTGAACAGGTAAAATTGATCCAAGATATAGTCATTATAGAATATTACATGATACTATATTACACGAGAGATAATATTTAGATACATATATGTATATACATATCAATGGTGTTTAAATACGTGAAACTTTTGATAGCTGCAACTTGCAGTCAAAGTTATATTAGAAGCGGAATCAGCGTCGAAGTTGGCGGAGGTGGAAGCATTAGCCGGTACATGGGACGGCGAAATCAAGGTAGTTTCAAAGTAAGTTCTTGGAGGGATTCAGTCGCCAATTGCACGGTATAATGAATCGTATAATATTTTACACGCATGCTTTCTCTCTGCCAATCGGCAGTAGCTGCTCCAATCACTAAAGTATTCTTAGCGAAACTTTCTCTGAGAACGTGAACGGGACTTTTTAGGCATGCTGCGAGCTTGAAGCAGCTGAACAACGGCAAGAGGATCCCACCGAGCGGCTGGAAGTGCGAGAAATGCGAGCTCACGCAGAATCTCTGGCTGAATCTGACCGACGGCAGCGTGCTCTGCGGCCGCAAGTTCTTCGACGGAACCGGCGGCAACGACCACGCTGTTGAGCACTATCGGGTGACCGGCTATCCCTTGGCCGTGAAGCTGGGCACGATCACGAAGGAAGGCAAGGGCGATGTGTTCTCGTACGACGAGGACGACATGGTGGAGGATCCCAACTTGGCTGTACACCTGTCGCACTGGGGCATCAACGTGGCGCAGATGGAGAAGACGGACAAGTCCATGATCGAGCTGGAACTCGACTTGAATCAGAAGTTCGGCGAGTGGGTCGCTCTTCAAGAGGCAGCCAGCAAGCTGACGCCGGTGTACGGTCCTGGATACACCGGCCTGGCCAATCTCGGGAACTCCTGTTACCTGAACAGCGTCATGCAAATGCTGTTCATCGTCCCCGATTTCATTAAAAGGTATCTGATCATTTCGGCTGTGTGATTTTCAACGTTTTCTGATTGTTTTTCTTTATAATCTGTTTATGATTCGATGATTTTTCTGAACGATCTTTCACTCATTGGCTCATTGAGTCGGGGAAATCCTTCTCATCTCGCGGCAGAGAGATATCGGTATTGACGTTTTGCAATCGCCGGAATGAATTTCAGATTTGTGGACGGATCGCCGACAATATTCGAGCGGAATTACAACGATCCGGCGAACGACTTTAACGTCCAAATGTGAGTCATGACGAATTCCATTCTCCGTAAGACATAAGATTCTCTTGACAATTGTACGGACCGAGAAATTTGTCCCGTTTCAGGGCGAAACTAGGCACCGGCCTGCTCTCCGGCAGGTACTCCGAAGAGCCGAGCAAACCCGGCGGCACGGACAACGACGAGTCACGACAAGGTATTCCCCCGCGGATGTTCAAGATCCTGGCCGGTCGCGGCCACGCCGGCTTCTCCTCGAATCGACAGCAGGACGCGCAGGAATTTCTCCTTCATTTAATTGACATACTCGATGTAATTATATTTCGCTGAACGATCGTTCGCCCCGTCCGCGTGCGATCGAACCTATTTAATAAGCACCCGCCCACCTCGGATTCTAATGTCAAGGAAATTGATTGAATAGCGTCACAGTCGGCACGAGGTAAACCCCATGGATTGTTTTAAATTTAGAGTGGAGGAGAGATATCAGTGTGGCACCTCGAAGAAGGTCAAGTACACCTACCGACCGGAGTACATCCTGCCACTGCCGATACCGTTGGAGGCCGCCGTGAATAAGGTGCGTTAGAACGTTTAATCAGCTTGTATCACCGAAAGCAATCGAACGGTATATGTAGGACGAGGTGGCCGCGTACGAGAACCTAAAGAAGGAGGCCGAGACGAAGGGCCAGAAGCTGGATCCCAATGCTCTCGTGAGACCTCGCTTGAAGCTCTCCTCGTGCCTGGAAACGTTCATTCGTTCGGAAACTGTAGAGCAGTTTTACAGCTCGGCGTTGAACGGCAGGACGACGGCGCACAAGTAAGCGTTACAGATTTACTTAAACCTGTAGTTTCAACATTAGCTGTTCATTATCTCTACCTACATTATTATTATTCAAGCCTCGATCGCGGTTGATCTGATCTTCTTGAATCCTTCCTCAGAACCACAAGATTAGACAGTTTTCCGGATTATCTGCTGATTCACCTGAGGAAGTACACAGTACAGGAGGATTGGACCCCCATCAAGCTGGATGTAGCGGTAGAGATGCCGGACACGTTGGACCTGAGCTTCTTGCGCGGCACCGGCCTGCAATCCGGCGAGGAATTGCTGCCGGAGACCGCTGGCGCGGAACCGCCACCTCCCGTCTACGACGCGGACATCTTGAACGAGTTGACGGAGATGGGTTTCCCGTCGGAGGCGTGTAAGCGGGCGCTGTACTTCACGGAGAACCGGAGTCTGAGAGATGCGACCAATTGGGTGATGGAGCACATCGCGGACTCCGACATCGCCGAGCCCTTCGTGCCGCCGGGAGTCGACGTTAAGCCGAGTAAGTACTGAAACAGTAGAGATTCTCTTGAGATCTCTCTCACTCTGATTATCGACTGGATTTCATTCAACTTATTATCGATTGATCTCAGGCAAAACCGATTTCGTGGCGAACGAAGAAGCCTTATCGATGGTCATGAGTATGGGCTTCACGCAGAATCAAGCGACAAAGGCGCTCAGGGCGACCGATAACAATTTAGAGCGTGCGGTCGAATGGATTTTCAGTCACCAGACCGAACTCGATGCTCAGGAATCGGACGGCGATGGTGCGCAAGCGAAGGAGTCGTTCCGAAACGGCAGCTCTCGTAAGTCATGTAACCATATATCGTACAATATCGAATATCGGATCGGTCTTGATGCGGCAGGGTGTATTCGCGTTTCAGGATACAAACTGGTGGGCTTTATATCTCACATGGGCACGTCGACGATGGTGGGTCATTACGTTTGCCATTTGCTGAAGGAGGGTCGATGGGTGATATACAATGATGATAAGGTACGACGATTCTATATCTCGTATCGGTGATCGTTATGCTTAAACTCCGGCGAGTTTCCTCACACATTTTCTTTCCCTCATTCTTCAGGTCGCCTTGTCGGAAAATCCGCCGAAAGAATTGGGATATCTCTACTTGTACCAACGAATCGATTAGTGAAACTGCTGTTTTGTATAAAGATATGTTGTATTGCTTTTTAACAATAAAAAATAATGCGAATCGAGGCGGCCGTGTTGCATCAATTAACTAAGCACCGTCAAGTTTGACTCGCTAAAGTGACAATTAAGAGTGGTGTAACGAGAACAAGAGCCGGGATATAGTGTGAAGATTTCACTTTATTTTCTAACAATGGCACAATTCTCAACATGTCCTAAAACGCTTTGCGATCACAATGGTCGATTCGAAATAATGTAACTGTGTGTGTGTGTGTGTGTGTGTCATCTTCCTATAAATATATCGCGCACATTCGATAGAGCGAGATAGACTGGCTCCCAATAAATTGTCCCACCAATATTCTGTCACAAGAATTAACAAGGACTCTGTGGCAGTGTACAGTAATTTTTTCGCGCGTCAATTGCATCAAAGCAACACATGTGTATTTTGATTAACGTTACTCTCTCGCGTGGTATGTGTTTATATAGAATCTCTTTTATCCTAAGTACATGATGGAAGAATACAAAACTCTTTGGAAAATAATGTACATATATATAAATATGTGTGTATATATAACTCTTTCGTCACACGTATAGTGTCGCGAGTTTATAAGCACTGCGCGGTTAACATTTCTATAATTATATGTATCATGCTTGCGCGCGGTAACGTTTTTCATGTGTAAAAAATGTTTTAAAAAATAGTCCGATCTCTACGGTATAAATAGTAAGTAGAAGGCCGTGATAAACACGCACGATGCTCACGCTGGGGTCACGATGAGAAATTGGCTTCCTAATCGGCGTAGAAAGTCGGCGTCCGTTTTCTCCGAGAAACGTAAATCCGATTATCTTCCACAAGAATCATCTCTCTTTCTCTCTCTCGCGTATAATTTACGTGTACAGGTATAAATGCATTTCGATGCGAAAGAACTCACGTTTGGAGGTCCACACTTCTCGTCTCTTCGCGCAATTAAAATCTAACAATATTTATAATATTATGTAGTATTTACAAATAAATGCGTCGTGTGGAAATATTCGACGGTGCGGAGAACGAAAAACAAATATTTCTCCTACACGCCTGTACATACCACGCGATCGGCTCATGCGCGCGCGCGCGTGTGTGTATGTGTGTGTGTCATATAACTTGTACTGCACGTCTTTCTCTCGCATTTCCTCCTCTAACATCCAATAAGTATATTTATTATGCAGGCACAACGGTCGATAAAGCTTTAAGCTTCGATATAACATTAAAAAATGTATACCCGACACTCGTTAAGCAAGAGCATAACGTGTGTCGGCGATTGGACGGTTCATAGGACTTTAACTGGCCGTGCGAATATCCAGTCTTGTACTTGGGCCATTATCGATGATTTTCAACGACGCTGGAATGGCGTAGATGATGGTGTCACCGTCCTTCTTGAACGTGGGCTCGCTCACGTCGGACATCACTTCGACGCGCAATGTTTTGCTCTTGTTGCCTAGCATACACTTGAATCTTACGCCCACGGTGACGTGCAGATCAGCACCGCGCAATCTGCCGAGAAAAACGCAGATCTCATTACATACATTCGCGGCAATATACATTCCGATCAATTTTTGTTTTCGTTTTTTTTTCTTTTGGAATGACTTGCCATCTCGAAAAAAAACGCGGTCAATGTATTACTGAATAAAGTTACGCCTGATTATAAAAGTATCGGTCTTGAAATCTTCGCAGAAACTGTACGAGCTTATCGAGCAAGCCGATTCACCCACAGTTAACTTTCTTTCAATTCTTTTTCTCTTCATTGACTTGTAAGCAGAGCGACCGAATTGTTAATCTGTTCGAAATTGGATTTGGATTTTTTTTCATAGTGTAAACGACTCACGTGACATATGTACGGTTGGATTGGTTCAGATAGTATTGTCAAACGTTCCTTTACGCGAGAAATGATGACTTACTGATAGTATCGGTTGCTGAGTATGCCGACGAGCTCTCCGACCCTGTCGTCCTCAGCGTTGATCGACAGAACGAAATCGTTTCCGCGGTTGGAGTGAATGGTGATAAGCTGATCCCTCCCGGGCGACACACTCAGACCAGTGATCTCCGCAATCGGCACGCCCTTCTTCATACTCTTGAACTTGACATCGTCCAGTTTGTAGACAGCGTGCTCCGTCACCACCAGGACGCGGTCCGCAGGCTTGTTGAATCTGCGTCATTCGTCGCGTTATTAACATTATGTTCCTCGCGAAATTGCGAAATAATATTAGTTTTTCGTGATATTCGTGGCAAGATGAGAAACCTGTTGGTCTTCTTGATAAACGCGCTGAACAAGACAGCCTTGAAGTGGTCGTTGTTTCGTAGATTGTTGATCGATGAATTGAAAACATCGTTGTGCCGATTCTCGTCCTGCTTGGACAAATAGTTTCCCTCCCATCGGCGATCTTGGCCCCAGTAAGGTCGCTTCGAGCGCAACACGGCGCCTGCTGCCATCTAAAGAGAAAAAGAAAGTAAAGGCGACTAGTGAAATTCGTTTTCATTGCGCGTTTCTACTAACGTCGATTAAACCTTAACCCGAATTGAAATCTCTTTCAAGAGAGTTTAAACTCAGGCCAGGGTTTAAACCGACATAGGTAGAAACGGTCTTAAGGTGACTTTCACTAAACTCAAATTAAATTCGACCGATGAATAAGAATTGCCAGTCTCCAATTCCGTAATTTGTCGTTCAATGACAATCAAAAAGTTATAATCATATCTGTGTTATGCGCACATGTTAGATGATGGAGCAGATAATGGTTGGCCGACGGCAATTTCAAATCGTCGATTCGATTAATCCCGAGTTTGGTGAAAGTCGTTCTTAATTCGACTATTGAATCGAGCGCGTTCACGTGCCTTCAGTCGTAGCTGCGGCCAATCCTCCCGTGGAATCACCTTGAGTACCATCCACGCCCACCATCTGGCGTACATGTTCTTCAGAGCGGGCATCACGTTTCTCACGGCAAAGTTCTCCGGCGGCCAGGGCAGATGCTTGCCGTAGTCCCGCATCTTCTTCGCAGTCCTGAACGTCTGCTCCAGCTTGATGATGTAAACGCGCCGCTTGTACTCGACGTAGTGCTTCATCAGAACCAGCGCGGCCTTCATCTTCTTGTAGTTCTGACGGCACAGGTATCCTCGCCATTGCTTCTGCAGGAGCACCACGATGCCCGGTATCAACTCGCTGCGAGCCTGTGGGTGTAATGATCAACGATAGCATAAGGACACTCGTGCGATAAGCGATTTGCATCCGTGTGTGAATGTTGCAACAAATGTAACTGAGTCGAATCATTTTGTACTCGCGCAGGCTCACTTTTTCCAACGCGAACAGAGTTTGCGGCGAGCGAATGAAGATCTTCGTATGGCCATACATGACGTCGTTCGAGAAGTGTTTCTCGTCCATCAGCGTGCGCACACCGTCCTTGTCGTCGCCACCTCGGAAGTTCGGCCATGTGTACTGTGATATCATTTTGTACCTGGCAGGATCAGATTTCTTCGTGAACACCAAGAGATTAACTTCGTGTCGCGATAAGAAAAACGCCGTTTAGGACCGTCCGAGTCCTTGAAAAGCCGGTTTACCTTTTCAGGAATCTGTCGTATCGTTGTCTGTACACGAAACCGGCGCGTCTCACCAGTATGTTCTCCACGAGACCGAGGTATCTCACTTGATGATTCACTCTCTCTTCGTCGAACACCACCGGGGACTTTACCTCGTTCGGTTTTATGCATCTCACGTAGAAAGGCTCTTTACTCGTTAGATTTTTCACCAGCTCGATCATGGAATTGCGGAATAACGTGCCAGCGGTGTAAGGCCTTCTTGTCGTCTAAAAGGATTCATTCATAGTCCACGATCAGTTTAATTTAGAAACGATCTTTAAAGTGGATCGATCGAATTGTGCAGCTGCAGCGTTAATACGCCGAATGACGTGGTGATCATTAATGACCGGCATTGTCATACTACCGTGTCTTATTAAATAACATATAACATATAATTAGTTGTAGCAAGCCTCAAGCTTTTTTTTTAGCTTTTTGGTGTAAGCATTAACTTGTAACATAATTTCTAGCAAGAAGCGTACCGGCGCTATCATCGCAATTTCTAAATGTTATTACGACTTCGGCAGCGCGGGAAATGCTTTTTATATAAAAATAATATTTTATTACTTAAAAAAGGCTGAAAGGCTTATATCCATCGTAAACTTGGACTTAAAATCATTGAGACACAACTCGCTGTGCTCTGTGTTCATCTGCCGTACCTTTAGAATATTCTGCGCACCCTCGGGCCACATCTTACTAATCAAAGAGTTATTGCTTTTATAGAGCAGACGTTTGAAATCTTGGAAGAGGGTGTCCTTGTTCTTGTCGAGGAAGCCGTTGATATTGTAAACCACGTCACCGGCGTAGTGCTTGATTTTAAATTCGATTTTATGTTGCAGTCCTTTGTCCATCGGCTTCAACTGTCGGGAGCTGTAGTGCTTGTGATCCGCTAGCTTCTTGTCCATCGCGTCGAGTAGCATCTAGAAGAAAGGGATCCCGTTTTTTATTCCTCATGCTCATCTACAAGTTCCACCCAATGGAAATCTCGATTTTTCACATACCTCATCGGTGACTTTCCCAACGTTAAGGCAAGCCTCATCCATGATCGCTATCATCCCTTTGTGAGATTGCTCGACCAATTCGCAGATGATTTGATTGTTAAAATACTCAATGTGTTGCCAAGCTATCCCCTCCCTCTGGTACTCCTCTTGTTCTTGTTTGAGAACCAATTCTGCGGAAGAAAAAGTTCGATCACGGCTCACATTCTTTCGTGTTAACTCTCAATCTTCTCGTCGAATCGATGCAAAAAAGTTCGTTTCGTTTTTTAGTCAAAATGTATATATAATGTTTATTTATTTTAAAAAATCAATCAATCAGGTATGCGCCATTTTGCTTGACAACCTGCCAGTGGCGAATTTATATAGAAACTAGTGATATTGAACTAGTGATCATGGAACACAGGAAGGGGACTTCATTTCACTCATTCTTTTTCACTTAGAAGCTTTTTTTTATAAGTTTCTCATTTACTTCTAAGTTAGAGGCCCCTAAAATAGTATCAGCGTCAGGCCCCGTAAAGTATTGATCTCTCCAGTAGCTGCATGATTTTGTAGAAATTCTAGGATTTCTGAGCAAAGAACTGATTGAAACGCGGGATGAACTACTGCATCGATCAACACGTTTATCAACCGACCACACGAATGTCTTCGCGCTCACACGTCAGCATTCAGCTCACCGATAAAGAGTTGCTGCAGCTTTTCGTTGCAGTAATTGATGCAAAATTGCTCGAAGCTGTTTGCGTCGAAAATTTCGAAGCCATAGATGTCCAGTACTCCGATCACCGTTCCGTACCGCTTCACGCTGTCGAGATCGTTCACGTTGATCGAGTCATTGACGCGTGATACTATCCACGTGAACAAGCGCTCGTATATAGCCTGAAACATTCATCTCTCTCACAATATGCGATGACAGATGCAGAACAGCGAATGGATCACGCGAGAACTTCGAGGAATGAAGAAGGGCTCATAAGATTGCTACCTTCGCTAAGGCGTCTCTGCCATACTCAGCTTCTATCAACGTGTGAGTCTTCTGCATGACCTCGCCACCGGCCGCTATGACTCTCTGCGAGAGGGCGGTGCTCAGGTCCCTCGAGCTGATGGAGAATAAATTGGCGGTGTCGTTCAAGGCGGAATGATTTTGCACCAAAAGCTTGTCGTCGTCCAGCCTGAAGGTGACGTTGCCCTGAGAGGAATAAGAAACGAGTTATTGTCAAGAGGAAAGTCGACAGGTAATCTCGGAAAAGAGTGAGATGAACGAAGCCTCATCGAGCATAAATCTGCCGGTTGGAGGGGATTAAATTGCACGTCGATTACCAGGTGCAGGATACCGGCGATGATACTCCAGACGGTCTGTATCTCGTTCGGCGAGAATCCGAGCATGGACATGGCGCTGTTCACGGTCTTGTAGTCGCTTCTGTCGGAGGTGGGCGCCTTATTATTATTTCCGTTGCCGATGAAGTAGTAGGCCGCCGGGTCGCGAACCAGGCGTAATTTGTTCAACTCGGGCTCGCCGCAGCCACTTAGCAGCTGCAATTTACGCGTAGATCCGTTCGTGAGCGTTTTAATCGCGACTTCGTTGCGTTCGACTTCAGGCAACGTCGATAACGCGAGGAAAATCGGAAAGGACGTCGTTCGGACGAACGATACCTGGTAGAAACAGTGAAAATTGCGTTCCCCCTTCTGCTGGTAGACCACCCGCGACTTCTCTAAGAGGTAATTGGTCACGTGTCCGCCCACGGGGTCCCCCTTGAAATCGAAGTTGATGTCCATGTACTTGCCGAAGCGCGACGAGTTGTCGTTCCTGTTCGTCTTGGCGTTGCCGAACGCCTCCAGAATCGAGTTCGACTGGATGAGGATGTTCTTGACCCTGGAATGTAAGAATGTGTCATTTCGGACGAGGCTGAATCAGTGTCTTCGCCGTGAGACGAGAATATCCTTCTCGTGTATTTTGCGCGCGACCTCGCCTCACGTGACATCGCGCAATTGTGCATTTGAATGCAAGATCTACGATCACGTTTGTAGCCGAAAAAGAAAAATATGCTAGATCGTAATCTTATCGTTTATAACACTCGATTAGATAGCAATGTCGATAAGAAGTCCCATTCGCTCTAGGCGTGCACGCCCGTACCTCTCGATCTCCTGTTGACCGCTCAGATTTGTAACGGCAGCGATATATTTCATAATGATTTTGCTGGCCTCCGTTTTACCGGAGCCCGATTCGCCGCTTATCACTATACATGTGTCCCGGCCTTGTTGCTTCATCTCTTTTTGCACTGCGTCCGCGATCGCGAAGATGTGCGGCGGATTCTCGAACAGCTCCCTGCCTGAAAGCAAATTTCCAGAATGGAGCAGTTGATTTTACGAAAATTACGTAGATGCCAAGCATAAAAAAGAATTATAAAAATCTAAGAGTAATAAATTAAATCTAACATCTAAATTGTAGCTTGGCGTAAATAAAATTTCAGACAGCACAAGCTTCTGAAAAGAATGTCCAAGAGACACTTAGAAAAAATAGGATGCCTTCTAGACGTCTTTAAAATGTCATTTGAAAGTTAACGCTGCCTCCTTTGAACATGAACGTGAATATCACCTGATCATACCTTTGTATTTATTAATTTGATCCGCATCGTAGATATTGGTGTATCTGTAAGGATTCACGCTCACGCACACCTCGCCGATGTACGTGTAAATCTTTCCTCCGTTGAATCTGCAACATGACAGATCGACGCATATACTGCACGGCAGAAGAGACTAGAAGAGAAAGGAAGTACCGCTTATTAAAGTAAAACGGAATTACGCAGATTGTATGGCAAAACGACAAAGCGCTTTCTCCGGATCGGGAAATTCCTCGTTGATAGTTTTCTGGTCCCGTGAGAGCCACCAGTCGACAATTCACGCTCCTTGACGACGGGAGATAAGATATTTGTCGTCGCACAGAAGATTGGCTTGGAAATTATCGAGCCATAATGACTCACTCGTCCTCACTTTGTGGACAATGTAACGCATTTGCCGCAAGTAAACAGCTTATACAGGTTGTACCCTAATCTCCGGCGAGGAGTAAAAGTTATCCGTCGGATTATCTCTGTTTGTTTCTATACCGGGCAAAATTTTATCGCTATTCATTTAGCGTCACGTACGAGAAGTGCATTACAATCGCGCGACGAAAAAAATTTCGTCGGTATAATTGAATTTTTCGTTGCCTGAGGACCACGTGAAAACCCGGTCCCCCCCCTAGGGAGACAGAAAAATTCCTGTAGGAGATTTCCACTCGATCAGTCGTTCTCGGTTGTCTCAACCGAGTTGTAATCCAGCTGAATGTTCACGCGAGTGTTTCTCAGACGTGCTAACAAAGAGATTATAAAATACTTGAAATAAAAGTAAATATCCGCGAGTATATAAGTTCATCATGAATATATTGAATTTATTCAAAATATATTCTCAATCTTAAGAGTTAGATGTTTCAATCGAGAATATTAAATTAAAACGTCAGAAGTAAAATTTAGATTTATTTGTATCATTTAACCGAACTTAACTTTTTTTCGATACGGTTTATAATACTTTTGAAAAGAAAATAAATTCTTCCTTCGAATAAACGATAATGAGCTTTTCTAATATTGGTGATGAATATATTTTAATACCGCATCGAACAAATATTCTTTATACAAGATAACCATTAACTTAAAATAAGAAAATTAAACTGAGTAATTGCTTTTTTTTTCTTCGCAACATACACACACACACACATGTATAATATTTTTCTCTGTGCAGGAACTGAGTTTTTTTCTTTTCCACAAATGCCCCGTTACAAGCGTGATACGATTGTAATTAACTGGTTATAATTATCGACAGCGTAGGCAGTCTCGCGAAAGTGACGCGGGCATAATCCAAAAACTATGTAGCGACGCGGCGATGATTCATCGGCGACCGCGATAAGAATTACGCGAACCGCCTGTATTCGTCGCGTGTATCCTAGGATGTGTCTTCGCACGCTCATTCTTCAACGCACGTTCACCGTGTCGCGCGTATGTGTGTGTGCATGCGTGCGTGTCTGCGTGTGGTTACCCTGACTTCTCTTCTTGTCACGCGTTGGCGTTGGGGACGATATCAACGTGAGCCGTTGGCCGGAATGGTGACATAATCGATAAAAATAAAAGTTCGCCCTACATATCAGTTACGAAGACGTTATAATAATCTGAAGATACACGGAGTAATTTCACGTGCACGGAAGAGACAGTTTCACGTTTGTGTAAGTGGATTTCCCGTTGTCCGGGGACCAGACGAAAACTCGGTTGTAGGAACAGGAAGATTCCTGCAGGAGATTTCTGCTCAGTCAATTGCTCTTGGTCCTAATCGAGTTGTAATGCAGCTTAACGTTCGCACGAATGTTCTCGGTAACGCGGTAACAGAGATACTGTTTCTCGCGAGTTTTCATTTCTTGTTGACCGAGTCTTCATCTGGCCCTTCTTGAGTGTTGCAGGAACTCACATTTTTTTTCTTCGCGTCGTCGTGTGCGCGTATATTCAATGCCACGTCGAGGTACAATCGCTAGATTTTGGTTTCTGTACGCGAGTATTGGGCCCATACACGTTCCCTTGCCCCTTTCTCGTGAAAGTTGCAGGTCGTTTAGCGAATGGCTGGGGTTGTCAGCGGTTTCGTTGAAGCGTAGAGAAAAATATATCGGGCGAACCCGTTTGATATCCAGTTAGGAAAGGAACTAACAAATTGTCCACGAAGTCTTTCGAAATGACAGGCCTATAATTATACAGCGAAGCCGAGGGAGTCGGTAATTCCACCAAGAAATACTTTCTCGATCCGGGTCATTATAGCAACATAGTTGCGATAAGCGGAATAATTTTACGAGCGGAATCGCAACTATGCGTTTTGTTCGGAGCTCCCTCCGGCGACAAAATTCGATACAATATCGCAAAATTCATCCGAGCGCTTCACGCGCGTCTGCGAGTCTTTTTAGCGCATGATGAATCAGAGCGCGTCATTCATCCTTACATATGAGTGCGTTTCTTCCGAGAAATGCGTCACACGTGTGCGTGTATCGTTGAGCTTGGGGTGCCGCGATTGAATCGTATCCAGATCCAGCGTGGGCAACTTCGCAAAACGTCGGTAAAGAATACACGATATTCTCGCGGCAGGTTTTCCGTCAAATCGGCGTAACGTAACTCACACGCGACACGCGTTCACCTGTAAATATAGAAATGTGAACGTTTCGATCTTCGTTCTCGACAGAATTTTTACAACCTTCGCCGTCAGAAAAAATAAATAAATAACGGACAGGGAAAAATGCACGGAAAAAATCATTTAGAGAGACAGCAAATGAGCTTAAGAAATCCTGTATATGTTTATTTATTTACTACGACAGCATAAAATTTGCCTTCAAATGATCTTTCTCCGTGTGCGGGTAGATTAATACCCCGGTTTATCGTCAATTACATCGTTACGCCGTCCGCGAGACGCGTTGCGGTGACTCCGCGATAAACGCGTGCAACGTATTACGCGAGTACTCTCACCCGTAACAGGATATCGTTTCCGTCATTCACTCGCGGTGTGATGTCTGTGTTCAATTCCACACGCTCTACGATATGGACGGGCGCAACAGCTTCTCCAACAGGTGTAGCAGCGTTTCCCTGACGTGTCCCTTTCTGCGGCATCGAGTTTCAATTTCGTATCGCGTCTACGTGCTTTTTCAGGATAATCTCTGGATTATATATAAATCCTTAAACATTTCCTAAGTTTACTCTTTCTTTGCTCTTTGTAAATCAAATTACTGTATCGGCTTTCCCATCTTCTTCGTACTGTTGTAAAGACGATTTTAACCGCGAGTCTTTTCTCTTGATCCAAAATGCCAGAACTCTGCAATCCATCCAGGTTGCAACGACGAGTCTCAGGTTAATCGCGCTAATCTTAGGTTGACGAGTCGCTGTTTCTTTTTCTTTAGTTCCGGATTACAGTTTCGCTCACGGAGAGACAGAGGAGAAAAGAATTAACTGCGGTTAGCGCCAATTCGCGCCGGTGCAATCGGCTCTTATTACTGTCATCTAGAAGCCAGCTACAGCCAGATCTCCGTTGCAACGCGGTGTACGCTGCTCATTTGCAGCTTATTACAATCTTCTTCTGCTGTAATACAAGGGGAAAGTAACGTTGAGGCAAAGATAATCACTCTAAAGTCGGATATCTCGCGTTTCTTCTTCTCGTTCTCGTCTGGTCAAACCGTTCGTCGACGAAAAAGGCAACGGACTTCGTGTCGTTCGCAATCGACTATTCATAGAGACGGCCTGTCGCCTACCAAAATGAATCGGCCAAGGTTGTCTCAATGGAGAAACGACCTCGTACACGTCTCCTCCGATAACATGTTTGCCGTCAACGGGTCAAGTTTAAGTTACACGCTGTAAGGACAAACCGGAATGCGCTACACTAGATAAACGTATTTTAAAGCGTTGAAGTGTACGAGGAGATAAGAAGAGGGGATAGTGGAAGCGAATGTTATTGCATTTCCTTTACGCTTATCAATCGAAAGTCACTCGAACGCAGTCGCGTCGTTTATCTAGCATGTACGCGCTCCGTTCACCCAGTTTTTCCCCCGTAGATGCTCTTTCCACCTCCGGCTTTCTCGAGGGAACAAGCAGAATGAGAGACGAACCGGCGGAAAATAGCGGCCGCTATCTACGAAATCGCCCACGTCCTCCTAATAATTTTAAATGCAGAAAGTGCAGAAGAACGCAACCGAAAAGGGCCCGCTAGCCTCTTACCACCTATGTTCAGGGTGTTGCGCGACCACCTGCTGATGCGCAGGCCACGCCCTCTCGCGGGAGCGGCGACGAAGTGACCGCGAAGGATCGCCGCAGCGGGACGCTCCCCGCCGTCACCGTCTACCTGTCACAGCGTCCACGATTCCGCGGATCCCCGAGTCGACCGTCGGACTCGCCGCCGGCTCCGCGCATACGTACCTCTTCTTCAGGTTCTGCACCACGCTCTCGACGGTGATCTCGTCCAGCAGCACGAAGTCGCCGATACCGACTTCATCGTGGCTCGCCATCCTCTTCTTCTTTCTCTCTCCCCCTTTCTTCCCGCGGGTCTTCCTCTTCTCGCTCGTTCGTCACTCACTCAATCACTCACTCGCTCGCTCCGGGTAAGTACTCGTCGGCTAAAACCGAGAAACAACCACACAACCGTCCACCGCACGCGGCTGACTCGCGCGTACTGACGGTTGTCGAGGCGCGCGTGCGCCTTCAGCACCAGCGGCCAATTTCGCTATCTCGAACGCGCGCGCAAGTCGACCGAACGCAGTCATCTTCAGCCCCCTGCGCTTCTCGCGCCCCTCGCGGCGCGTCGCGCACTCGTCAAGGGACGCAGTGTGGGTGTGGGATACTCAGTACCGTAGCGACGTGTCCTCGAAGCTTCCGGTGATTTTTACCTGTGTGTAATTTATATATATCTGATAAGTGAAGTATTCCGGTGTATTAGCAGCATGGAGCAGGTAAGATTACGGTCGATAATAATTTTAAGCGCGAATTATAAGGAGAGAACGAGAGAAGATTCATTTTAAACTAACTCACTAGCTACGTTTGGATCTGTTATCGCTGGAAAAAAATATACGAGGATTCAATCAGCAGGTGGTTAATCAGATACGTTCCTGTCGCGGAAGGCCCTACGCATGCGCACTTCCGCCGAGCGTTAGTGTGTGTGTGTGTGCATGTGTGTGACCGTCGCTTGTTCACCTTTATAAACGGCACGACTTGTCATTCGCGGATGCGATCACAGGCCGCACCTGCGTACGTTGTGTGTACGCAGTGAGAGCGTAACGTACGCGCGACCGTTGGCTGTTCTCGGCACGAAATGTTCTCGACGACGACGGCGACGACGATGTCCCAAAAGATGAGGATCAGCGAATTCCCAATGGGATGGACGGACGACAACGGCTGTTTTGTCGCCCCTGTCGAAGAGCCGGCGACGTTCTGGAGGAAACTTAGTGTAAACGAGTGGACGGTCAGCGTATCGCTCTTCCTATTCTCCCTCTCGATGACTCTGGGGAAGCTGTATTTCAATTACGGTGAGCGATCACGATAACTTGGTCGTAATTCTTTTTCTCACTCAATGTTACGTCGAGGAAGTTACTCCCGAAGGTGACGACAACGCGAATTGCGCAGCAGCTCGATCGAGGTTGAGGTTAGAGATTATTCAATGCACGATTGTTTTGTCGCTTTGCTGAAAAAAGACGCTCCCAGCCACACGCTCGGTGTTCCCTCTCGGTCTCTCTCGTAAACGTGTACCAATGCGTTAAATTAAATTTTGTTCGCAACGACAAAGTCGTCAATTAGACGTACGCGTCTCTCGTGATTTGTTCGTTTATTTTTTCTTGCTTTTATCAGACGCGAAACTATCAACAATGTTTATCAACAAGGCGAATCATTTCATGAATAACACTGTTAAATTGAATTTACTTGAAATTGTTCTAAACAATTACGTTCCTCAATTAAAGTCAACAATGAATTGTATCAATCGAAATTTATAATGTTTTCATCAAACAAGCATCATTGTTTTTATTCATTATTTACACTTGTATCATTAGGTGTCTTTTTTTTTTTAGGTACACTTTCTACATCTGATTGATCCGCTTTCATTTTTCTCTCTTTGATATATGAGTGTTACTTATTTCATACTCAAGAAAGTGATGATATAAGTATTCTCATTGAAATCAGAAAGTACTAAAATTGATTTGGAAAGTATTGAAGTATAGCTGAAAAGAAATTTATATGCCCGAGACGTTCTGAAATGGATCCACGAGAACAACGATTCGTACATAAGCTACTGTATAGTAATTATTATCAATAAATATGTATCTCTCCATTGTTAATTGCATGTTAATTCTTGATACATTTTTGTCAAGTCCACTGTTTGTTTATATTAATTCCACAAAATTACACCACTATATCAGTTCCTTTGCTAAAGTCATTGCTCTGATCTCAATGTGAAAAACTAATGTAGCATGATATATATATACATACAAATATATATAATATGTAATAAATGTCTTGTGTTATTTTTTGTAAGTATAACATCATGTGTCAAAATCAAAATAACCCGTGCGCCAGCGCCAAGTTTCCGTAAATATTAGCTCTATCTTTCGCCGCTTCGCCCTTTGCATTGCATTCCAGATGCGGAATTTAAACGCGCGAACCGTGAGCGCGCTTTAAAAGCGCAGACGGCGCGCACGTGCGCGGCCGTTCTCAAGCTGTATTTTTGTTACGCGGCCTATTTGCACAAGCGGAATACATTTTTCACGCGAGTCGGCGATCCTTCCTCCCTCAAGCTCCTCCGCGCACACGTGTTCGTGTATATGCGAGAGGTCTGCGCTGCCCATGACCGAATTTACGAAGGCCGCGTCATCGCCCGAAAAGTACCAGATTTTTCTTACTGTCGCAACACTGCGAGAGACAACGGCGAGAGGAGCAAAAAAGGAGAGAAAGAAAAACCTGAGTCATCTCGTCGCTTCTTGCATTGCTCTTTATTTTGTTTTTTTTCTATATTCCCTTAATTTAAATCAATTATTCGCGACCGAAGAAGAGAGAGTACAGCTTTGCAAATAAGAAAAAAACGAAGCTATCTCCAAATAGTCGTTCGAGCTTTTAATTTGGAATAAATGTTCGAATCTTGTTAGGAGAAGTGGCTGGCTGAATTTTCTCATATTTTGCCCACAGGAAAATATTCGTTGTGGCAAATTGGCGATCGATTGCTGGCGAAAAGCGGGACATTCTCGGACGGCAATAATCAGTACGCGGGAACAGCTGCTGATATGCTAGTATTTTGCGAGAGATACCTGTGGCTGATAAAGGCGACATTGGGTGGGCTTGCGATAACAAGTTTCACTTGGTTCATCATTTACATGGACAGCAGTGTACCTGGTGTCAACCCACCGTCTCCTTTCTGTTCTTCCAGGCAGAGGTGAGCTTCGACCGTTACCTAAGTATCATTTAGTTATCTCTACTTTGCAACATGACAATAGAATATACACAACAATATTTATTTTTTTCATATCACATCACTTGGCACATGTATTTCAGGATCCATAGAGGTTCAAGGATACACATAAACTATTTAGTCGGTGTGCTACATGGAATATTATTTTTCATCTACATGTGTTTCTAACTCGACGGAGATGTGATTCGGCGGCCTAGGTAGCTTGAAAGATGGTTCTATTTTTGTCTACGTGTAGTATTTTTATTTATCTGCGTATTATTTATATCACCTCGTCGACAGCTGTGTTTATTTATGGATGACTCTCATGCATATGTAATATTTAGTAAGTTTTGAGTTGCGAGATTACGTTGGTGGATACACGAATGATCTTCGCATTTTGTGATTTTCCGTTGATCCTCATATTACAAAAATGATACAACTGGTAGCGTTCGTGCAAATAAATCGACTTTTTTTTTCTTTTAATTAGTTCAGAACTGAAAATGCAGAGTGTGAAAGCGCGGGGGGAATTTCTAAAATTCAAAGGACTTGTTGCTCTAGTTTTACACACTGGTAATCACATTAACGGTACTACGGTGCGCGGGAAGTGCCGAGCTATTATTGCAACCATGTAATGCGCAGTAACCAAAAACTTCGAAGTGGAGAACAGAACCCGTTGTTCCAAATTTAACACGATTAATGTGTTATATTACGACTTTGTGTGTCTAAGAGAGACTGATTATCTGATAGAATAATATATTTATCGATAAGTTATGGAATATGTAAGTGTTGCGCGAGGTACATCTAATTTCAATTTTATTTTATCTTGCGAGGTAAATTTTTTTACATAATACATATGCTATACGTATTTCTACACGTATATTCCTCCTTTTGCGTGCTTCAAAAATAACACATTATTCCCGATATATTATATCATGTCACATTTTAAGCTATGGCGCTTATTAACAGTCTATGGATTATATATATATCGTTGGAACGAGATATTTTTCTTCATTAAACAGCTACTGCGTACCGAGAATGTTGTGAGGAAAGTTCGTTGTTACTCGAGTAATGGAACTCGTGCTACTTATTTTGCTAGATATTTTACTCTCTGTGTAATATACGCTTCAATTATTATTATAATTTATTTGCTTCAATTATTAAATATATTTATTGTACACTTAATTTATTTGAATTAACGAATCTCGGAATTTTCGCAGCTTCGATATCAGGAATGTCACACAAGCTGGTAGTGACACGATTGTGTTTCTCTGTGCTTGTCACTTGGGATATTTCGAAGCAAACTGAAATCTGCGGTTCGATAGATCTAAGGAAGAGAAATGTAAATCAACGTATCAAAGTAGAGTAGGTGATTATCTGTATGACTTGCGAGGCGAGAAATTTACGTAATTTCCAATTGTGCGAGTATTACAAATGTAACAGCAAGATACGTTCTATTTTTCGAACTATTGATACTGATAGGATTAATAATGTTAAGAGTATATTCTCCACGAGATACTTGTTATTACTAACGGTCCAGTGATCGCTGTTGTATACAGCATTGTCCTACGCGAAATGTTTTCAACTTGAATCTGTGAAACGAAATTTTTCATCCAATAAACAATTAATCGACATCTCCGCATACACTTTTTGTAGAATTGCACCTGTCGCAACTTTCTGTAATATTTGTCTCTTCTGTAACATTCTTTCTCTTAAAGATGCGAATGTGAATTTTCGTTTTTTCACCGCTGCTCGATGATGAGAAAATTCTGAGTATGTATGCGTCTTCGTTCCGAAACGATTTCAAATCTGCCGCTCGTCAGGTACGCGCGCACAGTGGCGCACCGGAATCAAATGACGCGGTTACCGTCCGCTGGGGGGCGCGACGCTTCACGGCGCGTGAGGTGACGGAACGATCGGTAAACCCGTGCGCTGATCGTTTGTGATTCGATCTTTCGTTGAATTTCCGCGGACTATCCCTATTGTTTCCTGTCTCGCTACCGCGATCGCCTGGACATCTCACCTTCCCCGTCATCCGCTTCCAGAATTCGAGAATGGAGAGTGAGAGTCGTCAGGCCTGTCAAGTGGCCACAAAAGCGGTGGACCATCAGATCTTTAAGATACACAATCCAGATGACTTCAACCGGATTACCAGAGGGATCAAGGTTGCACAATGTATGCAATCGCGATCGTCCTGCGGTAAGTATGCCCCCGTCACAGACATCACGGGGCACGCGTTATCTTTGCGAATGAATTTATTTCATCTGTTTCATATCGCGCGAACACTTTGCGTCAATCGTCTGTGATATTTTATTTTACTGATAAACTAGCGCGATTCTCAACGCGTGAAATTCGTTCGTTCAAGTTTCACGAACAGGGGGGGGGCTTCCCCACTTTGCAGTATCTGACAGCGAGACAGTGCTGAGCCAGTTGGAGGAGCTGGTTGTGTCGGACTCGTTGAGTTGTTCCTTCTGCAATACCGTGTTCGAGGACAAGATGCAACAGAGACACCATTACAAACTAGATTGGCACTGTTACAATCTTAAGCAACATCTGAATGGTCTCAAGTCAATTAGCGAGGACAATTTTAACTTGCTGGTCGACGAAGGTATAGTCTGAGATGAAGTACACAGCGGTGGGCAGGCTTTAAGCGGGTGCGTCAGACACGTGCGAATTTTGTAGGCGTCGTGTCTAGTCTGTCCGGTAGCGAGACAGAGTCCGAAAATGAGGACGAAGCTGGTACTTCGGAGACTGGTAGCTCGCTCAATAATGACCAGACCAAGAGCGAGTTCGCGAGTAAAAATGACACGGTACCTATCAGCGAGAGGTCTGGCAAGACGGAGAGACAGGGCGGCAAGGGTATCGAGTTCATCTCGGACAGTTCCGATACCGAGTGTAACGAGGAGATGTTCAAGAAGAAGAAGCTACAAGCTCTGTTAGCCATTGCCAGCCGTCACTCGAAGGTATTCTTTGAGAACGAAGACGGCAACATATTCAGCATCTATCGATGTTTGCTGCACCACAAGAAGGTCCGTCCTCATCATTTAGATCGCCTTTCAATTAATCTTTCCCCTCTTGCGTATAAAGCCACGTGTTATTGTAATAATAATTGTCGTTATTATTATTATTACAATATCGTAACTATGTTACGCGTGTCGGTATTATGCGCGAAATATTATCATGAAACTTGGTCTACTTTGTCAGAGTGTCACTCGGCGCGATCTATACTTGCCAGATCAGGAGAGATGCAATTACATTTTAGGACATTCCTGAAGTAGACAATGAGATGATCACTCAGGCATTGAACAGCGGTAAAAAGACCACGTGGACGATCATCATGGTCGGCGGTGGACACTTCGCCGCGGCTGTGTTCCAAGGTAACGTCGTCGTTGTCACAGTCCGAGGATGAACGTCTGAGACGTATATTTCGATGAATGTGCACTATTCGTCGTGTCACCAATTCGCTCTCGCGTGTCACAGACGGCGAGCCTATCGTGCATAAGACCTACCATTCTTACACCGTGCGTGCGAAACAAGGTTTCGCTCAGAGCTCTCGTACGACGGGCAACCACCAGAAGAGCGCCGGTGCCAGTCTGCGGAGATACAACGAGGCGTCTCTTATTCAGGTTTCCCCCTCCAGTCTTTCCGCAATTCTGTCGGGTCGATACAAAACCTCATTCCGTTTCTCAATCGATTCTTTGCTCGGAAATTCCCGAATTTCTACGAGTAATCACGCAGATTTCTGACTGACGGCAGGTTATCGAACGAAATCTGCGCAAACTTGATTGATTTTAAAGAGCAAATGTCCCGTACGTATTTTTTTAATTAGAAGAGACGCAACGAACTTTCGCATCAACCCGATATCTTACGCGATTTCTTTTATGTAATAGCGCGTGTGCGCGTTACGAAGCGAATAAATTAATAGGCAACGCGATCGTTCGGATTGATCGCCGTGAGAATTATTTCACACAAGCTGTTGAATACAATATAACATTGTAGTCGTTGGTGTTTTTGTTTTTTCCAGCATGTGCAAGAGATACTGGAGTCGTGGTCGACGCACATCAGCAATTCGACGCTGATTTTGTATCGAGCGGTCGGCCCGTTTAATCGCACGGTGCTCTTCGGCGGCAAAAATCCCCCGTTAGACAAGAACGACTCCAGACTGAGACCGCTGCCGTTTCCCACACGCAGAGCCACGTTTAAGGAAGTGAAGAGAGTGTACGATATACTGAGCACCATGGAGATTTACGGTGAGCGAGTCACACACACCTACGATCTCACCGGTTGATTCGTTTGATTCGCACGCTCCGATGTGACACCGTGTTCCAGGCTCCGCGGCTAACTTTACGGACTGTTTTCCTAACTCGCCACGACAGCCCATACGCAAGAAAGTCCCCAAGCCGGAACTGATGGACGAGATACCCGAGGGAAGCATCGGCGCTGAGTGTCAACCTAATGTGACACACAGTTGTACCAGTAGTTCTCAGGAAGGCGATAAAGTTAAAACTGCGGCCCCGCAGTCCTCGCCGGAGAGACAACACAAGAATTCGCGTTCGCACATAGACAGAGCGAAGCCGAGGAAAAGTCCGATTCGTCCGTTGCCAGGTACGCGTCCCTTTAGGGGAACAATGGTCCGGAAGCAATGTTGTTTCCAGTTACGGAGAAACTTCGTTTTTACAGATATCGTCGCTAGACTAGCTCAATCCTCTTCTTCGGAGTCGGAAGTGGACGAGAATTTGCCGCTGAGTATTTCAATAGTTGAACAAGACTTGGAGATAGAATTTAACGAACATTTATTAGCCTTTCAAGACACTGTGCCAAGGTATATGAAAAATAAGAAAACTCGCCGGCAGAAGAAGAAGAAAGACGCGAAGAAGGACGGTGAGTATCGCTCGTTCGGAAGAGAATTTACACATTGAGAGTTGATCCGCGAAATTTTGTGAAGCTCGCCGCGAGATGGTTCAAACGAGGATGCGATAGAAATACCGTTTGAACTGCACGAAATGAAAGAAGACGGCTGCGAAAAAAGAAACGAAGAGAAAATTTTACAAAAAATGTCTTATTGAGCGTCAATCAAGAGAATTAATTGCGTTCGACCAACTTGTCGTTTAAAAATATCTTATGTTGTACCATATCCAGCCCAGCTAATCAACGAAGTGTTGTCGGATGCTAAAATAAAATTGTGGACCGCGTGCAAGCTGGGGGATAACGATCTACTGTCATCGGCTATCGACGACCTGTTGGCCGAAGTTAAAAAGTGCGAGGAACTGGTGGAGCAAATCAAGGACGACGACGTTAACGTCGAGTGCAATAATCCTCTGGTCAGCATGCACGACGTGGCGAAGTTGGTCAATGAAATTAACGAAGACGGTAACACTATGTTGCATTTGGCGGCGCTCGGCGGACACTTGAAATTAATATGGTGCGTACCGCTAAAATTCATTCGTCGTTTCATCAAATATTACACTTGGTATGTGTTATTTAGTAGTATCGATGATTTGTTCTCAGGCTGCTGCTGGAAATTGGATCCGATCCCTGTAACAAGAATAAGAAGCTGCAGACACCTTATGCAGCTGCGAACGATAAGGAGACCAGAAATATGTTTAGAAGGTTCATGGCAGCTAATCCGGAGAAGTTTAATTACCAAAAGGTACGTGTTGGATCCTGCATTTTTTTTTTCTTGCATAAGGCGAAAATGTTCCAAGAAAGTAACGTTATTCTATTTACGAGAATTCCGTTTGTTCCATGAATGGTGTTCGGCAGTCTCAAATACCCGGGCCGCTCAACGATGAGATAGAACATGAGCAATTGGAGAAGAAGAGGCAGCAGCGGAAGATAAAGCGTTTGAAGGAAAAGGTCAAAAGGAAGGAGTTCGAACAGAAGAAGCAGGAGGAAGACGAGAAACAGAGATTCCTCAATCTCAGCGATCGAGAAAAGGTATCACGATCTTGTATATCGTGTTACAACATTATATTGCAACTTGATTGATACCGGAACCTCCAGTTCCGCTGCTCGACTATTGGTTCGATATCTTACTTGCTTTTCTCCCGTTTCTTATTTTACAGAGAGCATTAGCCGCGGAGAAACGTATGTTGAACCAAGGTTACGTGATGTCGCGATGTTTTCAGTGCGCTGTCGACATGACCGGTCAGGTGCCTTTCGAGTATAATGCCAATCGCTTCTGCTCCATGCCGTGTCTCAAGGAGCATCGTCTTCACAATAAATTTGTTATCTGATGGTGTATCGTGTATAGCTAGCGAAACTTTTGTACCATCAGTCATGCATTCTTGATTGAACCGACGATCACTCAGTTCCCGGAATTTCGGCCGCAGAAAGGGGGTTTTTGTGAGGCAGTCCTCTTCAAATGATAAAGAGGCTTTGGATTTATGGCTCGGAATATTAAATGGAGTGCGCCAACAATGGCGACCGTAAGGACAAATGTACGACATCAGTACAATGATTTATATTATTGATCTAGATGTACCGTTAATTAAGCATGTAAATTCTGAGCGTACATTGTAATATGCGGTATATTTATTGCCTGAATTATATTTTATTCTGTATCTATGTCGAATATTACGTAAGTATGAAGAATGTGAGAATTGTAAAAGAAAATTTTTATAGTATACATTAAAAAAAAAAGTACATATTACGTATTTACAAGCAAACTCGAGTTTCTTTAGTTATTTTATAGATTGTTGTTCTGTATCTGTACATACAATCGTTAAGATGGCTGCTTTTGAAATAGTCGCTTGTCGAATAATCAATAATCATGACGGATACATATGTATTTCAAAACGGGGGCGTAAATTCTTATAGATGACGTGTCCTACACGTCATTTTCTGATTTTCGGGGGCGTAAATTTCTAATTATTCTCGATCCAGGCTGTGTTCGAAAACACCACCGGGTTGAGTGGTATTTAATCGACCAGTTGGAGTAAAAAGAACCAAGATTTCTTTATCATAATTAGTTAATTAAATATATCATTTTACTTTCAGTGTGTGTATATATTCTCGAATGCAGCCCTAGTAAATGGTCCGACATCTTTTTTTATCTCGACATTGGTAGACCTGATTGTGGATTTTCTGTTGCATGAAGTCTCTCCGAACTCAGTTTGATTTTGGCTTCTCGGAGGAGGTGGTGTAGGAGGAACGCTGCCGAACTCTCCCGTAACTAAAAGTAAGAAATAGGTCGTAGGAGACGGCCCATAGCCACAATTGAAAAGAAGAAGAAGTGAGAGAAAGACAGAAAAATATTAGTTTATCGCTCCGACAGATCCACCATTTTTATGCATCACAGTTCAGTGCAACGAGATACATATGTTTTCTGTCGAACTAGAAAGACTGGTTTCCGCCTGGCTCGTATAAAATCTTCAGCGGCGAAATATCTACCACATCATATGAATCAGCAATATTACAAACGTACAGAACGTATATAGAAATTTGTATTATTTGCATTATTGTTTAAGTGGCCAATTCCACATATGGACGCCCGACCGATCAATCATCCGTCAGCCCCCAGTTATGTATATGAATAACGCGCTCTCTACGCGAATCTTTTAGCTTGCTTTATTTATAACATCTGCGATCTAAGCGCAAGCTACCAAAGGCATCAAACTAACAGATATAGCTTGAATGCCGTGCATATGTCGTAATTAGTACGCGATTCCTGTATCAATTTTGATACTAATTTTAATGGTTCAAATAAAAAAAATCTTTATTGCCGTCCCCACGTGGTTGCGAATGTTAAGCGGGAAGTATTGGAGTGAATATTGTAAGTTTTTACTGTACAAGATCAAGTCCTTTTGTATGTGTTGATGTTTACTGCAATTTCGTTTTTATTATTGTATTTATATAGTAAGATGTTGATACACGATTGAAGTGTTGTTTATTTAGTTTGCATATCATTAATCAAGACCAATACAAACTTAACCTAAAACCTTTGGTTTTGTATGTTTATAAGTATGATAGCATGTATCTTTGGCATAGTAAATATATTGGCCACATTCTCTTTGGGTACTCATGTGCTGTAAACATAATTCTATCTTCCTTTGACATATAATAGACAATAAAGAATGATGCTTACAGTGTGTCAGTACTGAAAGGGAATATAGTCATTGTATGTTAAACATGTGTCTAAAGTACATTGAAAATGATTCATCATAAACTAACTTCCGTTTATTTTTCATTACTTCTTGTAGTTTTTACATTTAAGTTTCTTATGTACTTTTCTTCTAGAGTTGACAAAATATAGCTCACAATTCGAAGAGCTCTCCCATAGACACTGAACAAATAAGAATGACAATTAAATTAATCAAAGAAGGAGTGATAAGTTTGAAGTCTCTAAATTAATGCATCATCTTCAAAATTAAGATATATGTTCAAAGTGCATCACGACGGAATGATGTACTGGAATAAAATTCGTTTCTTTAAAAAGAATTAAAATTATAGCGAAAATTATATATTTTTGTTGGCTGAAAGAGAGAGAGAGAGAGAGAGAGAGAGAGTATATTTTATGAATAATGCCAGGAAATAGACTGTGGTGCAGTAAATGAAGGTAATAGCGTTGGGTGATTTTTAAAACATCAAAAAAAAGTGAAAATATGGCTGAGGTATACAATAGGTCCCCCCCCCCCCTACAGAAAGGTAAATCTTATGATTAAAGGATCAGAAGGGTTTCAGACTATAACAATGGATTATATATTTTGATCTATGTGTGTATACACAGAGAGCACGTTCTTTTTACAAATTATAGTATCCTCTTACGCACACTTCGACTCTCGCTAATACTTGACATATTTAATTGTGCATTAAATGTCACACACACATACACACACACACACACGTGTGTGCACGCACGCGCGCACCTCCATCCCTTCCTTCAGACAGACATACAACGCACTTACACAAGGTGTTCATCGTAACAGTCTGCTGCGCATTTTTCGAAGTATTTGCAAAAAAACAACAAATGTACGTATATGTCTGTTTCGAGCGACCAACGTATTGCAGTAGAAAAAATGTCGATAATCCTTTGCCCTATATCCTTTATTTTTATAATTTAGTAGATTAATTATTAGTAGATAAATATAATTAAGTGATTAAAATCACCTTGAATTTTTAAATGGGACGATACGCGCGATATTTTTATTATAATATTGTAGAGAATATATCAAGATAAATTCAACGGATCGAAGTAGATATATGTATTAGGTTGAGGAATAAGTTCGTAGCGTTTTTATATTTTCTTTTGTTTTACAACGATTTTTTTGCTGTTTGACAAAGTGTATAATATTCATTCGATAGAGCTCTTTCTGCTCTACAAAACTGTGCTAATCGTCTTTTTGAGTAATTTAATTTTTTATTACTTTTGAGGCTTAGAAATGGAATATCCAGGAAGTAAAAAGCAACATTTTCGACACCTGCTCTTCTTCGCTTTTCATNTATATATATATATATATATATATATATATATATATATATATATATATATATATATATATATATATATATATATATATATATATATATATATATATATATATATATATATATATATATATATATATATATATATATATATATATATATATATATATATATATATATATATATATATATATATATATATATATATATATATATATATATATATATATATATATATATATATATATATATATATATATATATATATATATATATATATATATATATATATATATATATATATATATATATATATATATATATATATATATATATATATATATATATATATATATATATATATATATATATATATATATATATATATATATATATATATATATATATATATATATATATATATATATATATATATATATATATATATATATATATATATATATATATATATATATATATATATATATATATATATATATATATATATATATATATATATATATATATATATATATATATATATATATATATATGTATAGAAGTAAAATATTACGTATTACTAAAAGTAAACATAACTATTCGACATTCACGTGCACACATTCGCATTCGTAGCATTCGCGGAAAGATTACGACTGCTCGTAAGATCCCATTGTGACTAGTATCAGCAAGAATGAACATTTGCTCACGTGCGGCACGCGCGTTAATTCTCAAACAAATTCACCACGTGTCTCCGTTCTCGTTCGCGAACGGCCGACGAAACGATCCGAGATGCGGTTTTCGAACGGTTCGCGAACGAAAGATGTTTTTCCTACGAGAAATTAAAGGAGAAAAGAAAAGAAGATCGATACAACGATGTGGACAACGGTGGGGACATTTAACGGTGTATACAGTTTCTCATAGCCGGTGTATATACAAGACGACCGTTCTTTACACTTAGTCTCTACGACGCCTCTCTCTCGGCGCAAGCAGCTTTCATAAAAATAATGCGTTCCGAGCTAATACACATAGCGTGCGCTAGAAGTATACGAGGTCGAGTCAGATGGAAACCTTAAATAGGTCTCTTCTTTCATAATTTATTGGACAAAAGTAGTTACGCAATCGCAAGAGTTTTTTTCTAGGGGAATCCGTGCACTTTGTGAGCAGAACTGGAGGACTCGTCTGGAACGCAATGGAGACTACGTAGGAAAATGGTACGGTTGTGTGGAACTTTTGTTGGAAAAATTATGAAAGGAAAATTTAAGGTTTTCAGTTGACTTGTACTCTTGTACGTTGTACGCCGGACGATCGAAGAGAGTTCACGTGCGACTCGTCCCCAGGTATTTTGATCGTGGTGCTACTCGAAGCCTGATGTAATTCGACCAGGCGAGATCGGTTTCGTTTCGTCGATTAGAACGCGATGAGATCAATAGGGATTTTTCAGGAACTCATCACGATCCGGAGATCTCTCTGGATTCCCCGTCGGTCCCATTGGAGACCAGCCTCCGGATCTCACGATCGTCGTTTCGATTGCCCGATCCCCGAGGCTTTACGCCTCCTCAGACGCTCTAGATATATGTACAAAAAACAGAAGTCGCTTATATGTAAGAATCGAGAAAGTTAATAAAGCACATCTGAGTATCATTTAGGCTAAACGCAGCGAAGTGTCACGGTATATCCTGTGTCCTCTGTTATCTTCATTATGTTTTGCAAAAATATCCGGTTCTTCACTTCCGGTTCGCACGGCCAGACGATGAAATGAGTCGCAGTGCGGCGTTCTTGTCTTCTTTTTTTTTCCTTTTTCTTTTCTTAAGTACAAAATATCGAGGATTCCTCTTCGAGATCGTCCCGCTCGTCGACCATCTCTCACGCGCGGACGTTCGCTCTGGTCTCTCACGTTTCTTCACTTCGCGTTCGTATTCTCTGTGCAAGTTCCTCGGGGTATCGGTGTGCGGCGATAAACTTCGAGTGTTCTCGCGGCGTGTGAATTTTTCACGCACACGCGCGAAGAGCGACGAGCCACTGCCAGGAATTCGGCACGTCTCTCCCGTTCAGGTATTGTTCGATGGATACTCGCGATGGCGAAGAACTTCGTGCGATTATTCGCAGTTAGAAAATCTAGTCGGCGCAAATTTCGAGAAACCAACATGTACATGTACTGATAAAATGATGATTCCGAGCGTATGTCACTTAATCTGCCGTTCCGATGAAAAACACACCCTCGAAAATGACGATAACTAATACGTTAATGACCGTTCAAGAGGTAATGTGTATGTAGAGTTGGGTGGTAAATTGCAGATAAGTTACGTAACGATTTTGGGAATAGTATGTTATTTTTCTTTTCTCGTTGGTAACGAAATCATATTCTTTTGGAATAACGGTAACGAGTGTAATCGTTATTTTCATCGCTACTTCGAAAAAGAAGTATCATGATTCTTTCCTAAAAAGTAGATCAGCAAAGCTCAATGAAGGAGAAAGAATGAAAGTCGCAACTCGTGTTACTTCTCGAGGAACAGGTAACACTTAACTGTCTAATAAGAACGTAACCGGCAAACTTCTGTTTGGAAACCGTTACATCGAAAACTTTTGAACAAGCGAGTAAAAGAACTCTTTGGAATAGATTCGTTCGATATGGCGGTCTTTATCTCCCGAATGTGCTGTAAAATTAGTGGAAAGTATACTTCAAAGATCGTCAGGCAATAATTGACAACGGCGGTGATTGGACGACTTATTGATATAAAAGCGCCATAAAAGTCAGGTGTCGATCACGCTCTTGTTAGACAGGATGTGACGAGTTACTTGGAGAAAGTAACTTTCCCAACCCTCGTGTATACATGTCAGGACTGGAGATTAAATCGATGTGGAATCGTCCGTGTCGGTATCGTCCCCGTACGGGCCCCGACTGTCGGTTTTCCAGTCCGAGACCGCGGACTCCACGCCGACCTCGTACCTGTTCTCCTGGGCGTTACTGGACGGCACGATTCTCACGTAAGTGTTCATCACGCCCTTCTGCTCCGCGACCGCGGGAACCGTGATGCCCCTGGCGTTCCTCTCCTCGCAGCTGACGGACTTGGAACGGGGCTTCTCCTCGGGCTTCTTCGTCACCGACTCGATCGACTCGAGCGAGCTCTTCCTGCGGCTGCTCCTCCGGTTGCTCCTGCCGGTCTCTTTGCCGCCGGCACCGCCGCCTCCCGTCGAAGTCTTCCTCCCGATCTTCGGGCTCTCGTTCTCCAGGTACTTGCGAATCCACTTGGGCGTCTCGCTCGAGTACGCCTGTAACTTCTTCGCGTACTTGACCGGGCTCGGCAGGATCATCGGCACATCCGTCTCGATCACCGTCGTAATCACCTGCTCGTTCTCGTCGAAGTTGCTCTCCAGGTACTTGCGCTTCGGCGTGCCACCCACGCTGAGCTTGCCGAACGACGACGAGACGCTACCGTCGTCGCCGGTCTCGTAGGTGTACGAGTAATGCTTCTGGATATGCTTCGGTTCCTGCTGCTCCTGCTCCTTCGTCTGGCCCTTTTCCTCGTTCATTTCCTGGTTCCGTCGATTCTCCTCCTTCTCGATCCTCTTGAGTTTCTCCAGCGCGTCGTCGATCGAATAACGCGGCGACTTCCTACCGCCGGTGCCGCCGAAGTCCTGCAGCTTAACCGGCGTCAGCAACGACTGCCTGAGGTTGCCGGCGATGCTGTGCCGTTGCCGAGTAGGTGGATCCAGTAGCCTGCGCAGGCTCGAATTCCTGATCTCCGGCACAGACATCCTCTCCCTGACCGGGATCGGCGGTGGTTTGCCGGTGGTTTTCGAGTCCGCTTTCGTCGGCGACGGCGACTTGGACGACTTCCTCGGGAAATCCGGCGCGAGGAAGCGCCTCTCGCCGGGCGGGAAGAGTGGCGACGCGCTCGCCACGAGCACGCTCTCCAGGCCCTCGCAAGTGGGGCTCTTCAGTCGAGCGGACGTTACGCCCCCGGTCATCTCCTCGGTCTTCATCTGCTGATGCTCGAAGATCGGCGAGCTGGCGATCGGCAACAGTCTGGACTTGCAGCTGTCTTGGCTGTCGAGGCTGAATCGCTGTTTCGCCAGCTGGCTGTCCAAGCTGAAGCGTTGCTTCGGCGTGCCGGCGATCAGCCGCAGGTCGTTCTGCGTCTCCAGCTCCGGTATGGAGAATCGGTCGCGGTTGAACTTGACGACGTCCCTGCCGCTACCCAGGTCCTTGGCGATATTCCGGTACTTGGAGCCGATGTCCAACTGAGAGAGACGGTCGCGTTGGCAAGCCTGCAGCGCACCCGGCACGAAGCGTTTGTGCTTCAGGGGATAGGGCGGCGGCGAGGGTGAGTGTACGCCGATCATGATGTCGCGGCCGCTGCTCAAGCAAGGTTGGGACAGTCTTTGCTGGCCCCGGCCGGGGTAATAGTCGCCGGTGACCAGGGTGGGCTGCGACAGTCGTTCCCGCTTGTCCTGCCGCAGATTGAACCGGCGCACGTCCGGCTGCGACAGCCTGGACGAGCTGCGCTCCATCGTTAGACTTCCACGCGGGCTGCCGCTGCCGCCCAGGGCGTGCACGTTCGGCGTCGACAGCCTCTCCTCCTCGTTGATGCTGTTGTCGCCGGAGGTGGCGCGCAAGCTCGTGTAGGACAGCCGACCGCCGCCCACGCGATTCATGCCGAAGAAGTTGATGCCGCTCAGGCTGGAGTTGAGGGTCGGCTGGGACATGCGGATGCGACGGTCCGGCGAGCCTGCCGACCGACGGTCGTACGAGATCAGCAGAGTCGGCAGGTTCGGCTGGGAGTAACGGCTGCGTTGACTCGCCGGCGAGTAGCTCGGCGGACAGGGTGTGGTGGAGCGGGTGCCCTCGTAGGTGCCCGAGTCCTGCGACTCGATGCTGGACTGCGACTGTGGCTGCGCTTTCACCGGCGTGATGTGCAGGTTCGGATGGGAGAGACGGTTCTTGCGACCTTGGCCTGGCCGCTTCAGGTGGTCGATCAGATTCGGTTGGGAGAGGCGGATGCACGGGTTGGGACGCCGGTTCAGGTACCAGAGGTCCCGGCGGGAGTACGGCTCGCATCAGAGGGTACCCTCCTCGCGCAGACGGCGCATGAAGACCGGTCGTACGTCCTCGAAGAACGACGGCAGGTCCAGCTCGGCGGCGCGCGCGATACCGCCGTCCTTGCACTCCAGCCAGTACGTGTCCATGAGACCTTTGCCCTGAGGACCAAAGCGCCGAGTAGAAATGGAACTCTTGAGTCCGTTAAGGTGATACAAAAGTTAATTACACTTGCAGGATCCGAATAAATAAATAAAATGATAAAAAACAGCGAAGCAACATTTCAAAATAAGTATATATTTAATCTAACGCTAAGAGTATCGTGAGACACGTGAGAAAACCAATGATCGTAATAAGTCTGTTCGTCTCAGCTGAATTAGTGCAACGTTGGAACCTCGTTCCTTTTCCCTTCGACGCTAGATTATACACCTGTTTCACTTTAAAATGCAAATGTGCAATCTAGTTCGGCTAAAACGAACAAACGTACAGGCAACTCGCGAGCCTTAATCACCTTCACGTCAACCAGGCCACGGTGCTCGATCCTGAAACCGCCCACCGCGTCGAGCGCTTTCTTCATCTCCAAGCTGATGTGAATTCGCAAGGCTTGGATGAAATACAAACGTAGGAGACGAATTAGTATCGCACAAGAAACGGGTAGGTCGCGACGCGAGGAGATTTCGCAGGATGCGAGTGATAATATAGATTACCCTCCCCGGTCGATTCCATGCGACTCGCGGTGTTGACGGTGTCTCCGAAGAGACAGTAGCGTGGCATCTTGCTGCCGACGATGCCGGCCACAACGGGCCCGGTGTGGGCCCCGCTTCGTATCTGCAGTCGTTCGCCGGGACGTTTGGGCACTTGGAAGACGGACGAGGCCGCCAGCAGGTCTAACGCCATCGTGGCGATCTCGGAGACGTGCTTGTCGCCTGCATGGTACGACGGAAATAGCGAATGAAACGTGAAGCGATTCACGCGTCGGCTAATGCAACATACGCAACTCTGTAATCCTCCCATCATACGTCGCGTCACGGAATCTAGTCACGTTCGAAACTGAGACGGGCATGCATTTTGCGGATATTTCTCAGGACTCGAAACAATCGAGACAATCCTATAGATCGGAGATCCGCGGAACTTGTGGGGAGATACTTTGACTTCGAGGTTGCAGGCAACAAGCGGAATTGGGTCTCGGGGGTTTCGTACTTTTACCATTTCTGACGGGCAGGCCGGAAGCGACCATGTAGGAGTCCCCGATGGTCTCCACCTTGTAAACGTCGTAGCACTCGATACGCGCGTCGAACAGCTTGTAAATCGAGTTGAGGAACGTCACCACCTGAGACAAAGACAGAAATGAAGGCGGCGGATGGAACAGACGAGTCGCGAACGTCGCCGCGCACGATTAGGAATCGCCGTGGTGTGTTGCGCGCGGGAATGCGCACGGTATGCCTGCGATCTCATTATCGCGACGAGCGGGAACGCGACTCTCGCGCAATTGATCGAATCGCTTCTTGAAGATCGATCGGTCATCCACACTGATGGACAACGAGAACGTACCTCGAGGGGCGTGTTCTCCGCTGCGATCTCCGTGAAGCCGACTATGTCGCTGAAGTAGACGGTCACCGCCTCGTAATACTCAGCTGGCACCTGATGCGCCGAAAAATTGGTCAATTTCAAGTACAAAATGCAAGGCATTTTTCTATGTTACGGAATTGTTCCTTTTAAACGAAAAGAAATAACAATGACGATTTTCTTTTTAATGAGCCTGAGTGAGCAACGATAATGAGTTGTTTTTTAAGAGACTTTTAACTAGAGCTTCTCAGTATTCGGATATCTGATTATCCGGATATCGGTTCCGACCCGACCTTCCATCATATTAATGTCGAAATACCGTGCAAATATTGCGGTTATCACATCGTCGAGGGGCGCCAGCGAACGTGTCGAAAAGAATTGGAAGGATTGGAAAAGTTACTCTGAAATAGAAATCGGTCCAATTCTGCTGAATGCGCGGCAAAATACGAATTTCGGATTCACCTGCTGGGTCTGCTTGAGTTGCTGGGCGACGCTGGGCGGAAGCATCTGAAAAAGCAGCGTGTCGCTCTTCCTCTTCTCGCGCTTGAGTTCGCGCGCCTTCTGTGCTAAATTCGCGGCGTACATCTGTGATAAATTACACACATCACACACACGCGCACACACACATACAACAAGTCAGTGACAAACAAATCGTGTGTAAAAAAAATGAGTAATTATAATAAATTCTATTGTGCAGCGCGCTGACGCGAACGACGAGAATTTAATTGGACGAAAGCGATATAGTTCAACGCCGCGCGTTTGACGTGTAACCGGAAAGGGGATCGAACACAGGGTGGTGGCATCGCGAATCGCTCGCCGATACAAACCTGAATGGTGGCGACGGCGTTCCGCATCAGTATTATGATGATGGGCGACACCATCAACACCAGAACGACGATGGCAATTCCCGCGACTTCGTTGTTGCTCGCGTCTTGCAACGTCGAGTTGACGTAATTCCTGCGGGCAGATACGCCACATCACGCAATGCGATCGATATGTATGTGTTTCTCGTCGATGGAACGTGTAATATATTATATATATATATATATATGTATGTGTATGTGTGTGTGTGTGTGTGCGTAGGTGTCCTAGACAAATTTCATGAGGGCGTAAGGATTGAGGTGAACAAAAAAGTCTTGTACTATTTTTTCAAACAACACGCAAAATCTCGAGATATTAATTACTGAAAATGATCATTTATAATAGCTTCTTTAATAACTTAAAAATATGCGTGTTTTTGCAAAATAGTAAAGGACTTTTTTTATTCATAGTGGCCTAATTCATACGACAGCTTTTGTATCCAGCGACAGATATCAATATATTAAATCTTGAAGCTCGATCCTTGAACCTGTCTCTAGTACAACAGCTGTCATATATTTATGGATTAGGCCGCTTGAAACAAAAAAGTCCCTTACCATTTTGTAACACGCAAATTTTTTGGATATATAAATATATATCCGTGTGTGTGGTATATAAAGCGGATCGATAATTATTAAGGACCGCTATTCTCGTTTCTCGAGTATCTTCTGAAAATTACACCGAGGGAGATACGGTCGTCAGTCCGTCGCATTTTACGAGTCACTGAGACAAATCCACGGGGAGGGGGAGGGAAAGGACAATTCCATTATAAGGATTCACCTTATCATGTGACGCAATTCCCGCTGCAGTTTACGCAGCTCGTCGATATAAGTGGCCATCGAGTCGAAGTATGCGATTGCATCGTCCACGCTCGGCTCCCTCTTTTGATTCCGCAGGATTTCGCCCCGTCTGGGAATGCACACACACACGATCGCGCGTTAGCACGCACACTATCGCGCTTTTATCACTGTAATCTATCATCGCGGGCCGTTATGTCGCGCTCGCGAAGGCGCGCTTTTGTTCATCGGGGAAAACACTTCGTCCAAATTACCGCAGAAGCGGCCAAGGAGAGAGATAGCCTGTATCCTATCCTGCACGCGTCGTGAGGACACGACGGGAAATATTCTGCGACGCTTAAACTCAGTTTTCTCGCTTAGAATTTACAAATAACGATCGCGACAGTTTCTTTAAATTTATCTTTCCTATACATTGGAAACTACAATATTTCTACATTGTGTATGTGGATAAACGCATCTATAGATATTTCAATAAAGGGATGTATTGAAAAAGTTACTGGAGGATCTCACAGATCCGTCGTGCCAAATAAACGGCAAAATAAAAGTGTGCCGACGAAAAATTAACGACGCTCGCGGTCGCATTTTCACCGTCGTTCTCCGAAACGCGGGGAAAACGCTCCTCTTACCTCGCCTTGATCTTGTCGTACTCAGGCATCGTGCGCGAGAGCTCCTCGTAAAACTTCTTCAGGGGGGGCACGTACGTAAGAGCCGCGTTCAGTAGATCACGTCCCAGCGCCTCGTGACGAACGTAACTGATGTAATTGTCGCCGAGGAGGATACCGCGGCCGAAGTAATTGATCCCTTCCACGGAGGCGATGCCGAGGCTCTCGATGCTCCGCAGCAGGTTCTTGAAGGCTATCAGATACCTGCCGAGCGAAATGCGCGCGTGTACTCTCTCGAAATTCCATTCGGAAAAGCAAAGCCGAGACATTCGGGCGACTTCCCGCTCACACGGAGTGAATTCTCCGTCGAGTGAAGATTTTTACTCGCAGAAACCAATATTTCGCTTAAACGACGTTTATACACGATATTTTCGCCCTCGTCTCGAGTTATTTTCATTCGAAGTGAGACTTCGCTCCGAGAAGTTTAGAGAGTACGGTTACACTGCGCGCAAAGGGCAAAACGCCGATAGACAGCGCGCGCCTTGTCTCGCTACTACCCATACTAGCGAGATAACGAGCGGGTCATTATCACCCCCTCCTCTTTAGAGATTCTGATAATTACCTCCACACCCCGCTGTTGTCTGTCTCCTTAATCTGATTAGTCAAGTGATCCAGCATGGCAGCGTTCACGCTGGTGTACCACGCCATCACCTCGCTGATGCTGCTCTCCTCCGAGCTGATCTTCTGCCTGGGGAAGTAAATGAACGAACTTTGTACTCAGCCTAATCATAGAGTGGCGTATGATATGCGTATTAAACGTGATCGATACGTCAGGATCGGGCATGACGTGATGCGATTCGAATTGCGATCTTGATAATGTGAATATAATTGCGTCGTCGCGTGACGTAAAAGTTCGATCGTCCGGTATCGAAAATATATTCGGATAATCTTATATTAAATATAAGATGTAATCGAATCGATATAACGATCTTGATTCGTGGATGTTTCTCGTGTATGAGTTTATTCTATTCTCAGTTCTAAGTGTCCCGGGTACACATCGGGAGCTATCCAGATACGTGATTTCGAAGAGGATCTAAGGAAGAAAAAAAAATGACTCGCGGGAAATTCTCCGGAGAACAAGTGGCGGGTCGCCTTCGAGGATATCGCTCGATAATGACATCGGTGGGACAGACCTTCGCATTTGTTACGAGGGTTTGATCAATGTGAACACGTCGTCGATGTGCTATCCAGTCGAGTTTTAACCACGGACCAGAGGACCGAAGAGGCAGAGGGGCGGAGGGAGGGAAAGGGAGAGAGAGAGAAAGAGACAGGAGTCTAAAAATACTGTCTATTGCTCCAAATGGGCGTTCACGCGCTCATGTGTGACGACCTCTTCCATTGCTCATAAAGAGAACACATGAGAGAAAGAGAGAGAAAGAGAGAGGGAGCTAACGATGAGAAGAACGAAAGTTAAAGGGGGCGGGCAGGGACGAGGGGAGGAGGACAACAACAGTACGAAGAAAGAGATAGATGGATTTATTACGGCCGTCGCCGGGGTTGACCGTCAATAAACGAGATTACCGAGGAACAATCGCACTACTCGTGAATATTTCGCGAATACGTGGGCGAATGGTGCCGCGTCGAGACGAGTGATCGGTAAACAAATTCAATCGCGGAACGCTGGGAGCGCGAAGAGAGAGAGCGAGAGCGATATCACGAGAGCTTGGGACAAGGGTTCTCCCTCTGTGTACGACTGCAAAATGAAAATTCCATTACGAGGATCTACAGAGGAGGATGAGAGAGAGAGAGAGAGAGAGAGAAAGAGAGAGCCAAGAAAAAGCGAGGCGTCTCCTCGGAGGAAGTTTGTTACACCTTTCGTCGCGCGCATCGATCGTCCTGTCGCTGTGTCCGCGTCGATGTGTGTCCTCGTAAGGTTCTCGCCCTTTTCCCGCGGGTTCCTCCGCAGAAGGCAGAGAGAGAGAGAGAGAGAGAGAGAACCTCGGGATTGTTAGCGCCAGCTTGTTACCAGCGCTCGCACCGGATGACACAAATGCGCCGCAACTGTCTGTTCCACCGTATCCGCGCAATAGCGATCGCAGTATTCTACTCTCCGTCCTCGCATTTCCGCTTCTGCTTTCTCCACTCTCTCGACTGGGTTTCTCCGACCGGAGAATATATTTTCGATATCGCTACGGAGATTTCCTTTGTTACTACAGGGTGCTCCTGTTGTTACCTTTTAAAAAATTATAGCCGACAGTTAGTCTCTCTCTCTCTCTCTCTCTCTTTTTGCCTCCCCCTGGGAGAGAGAGCCTCTCTACTTCGACTCTTTAATAGAGATAAAAGCAGCGCGCGAACAATTCGCAATTGATCAACTAATGAGCTCCCGTCAGGTGACCCTATCCGCACATCCGGTCACGGTGCTTACTTAAAGTTATCTTTTCCCCTCGAAAGGGAACGCCCTCGGTGTTGTGCCGCCCGTTCTATTCTCTTCATCGAAATTGATTTCAGCAGAAAAGCGCTGCGAATCTCGCTTTTACACTGAAATTCCCCCGTCCGCGCGTTTTGTGACCTTTACAGCTTTTTTTAGATAGACACGGTCGGTCGATGACGACGCATTCGTATTTTCCATCGACGTAAAGGGAAATAAAGATGCGGTATAAAACAGAAAGGAAGAAAGGAGCGGAAAAACGCGAATTTTCGGACAATCCCGAGTCACGTGCGCACAAACGACGCGCGTTCCCGTAATTGACGTTCCCGCTGAACGATTCCGCGACACCCGTTACAATTAACGGTACATCGGTAGCGGGTGGCTTCGCGCGAAATATTCTGTGCCTCCCCGCCCCGATTTGTCGGCGACCGACCTTTCCATATCGATACTTTTATCGCCGCCACTATCGATTTTATCGGACATACGCGCCAGCCCGCACCGTTTTCACGGCGCGCGCGGCCGCGAACGAAAAACGTGCCTTTTATAAATATTGCTCCCGAGCGTGACACGTTGAAATCGGCGCGATTTCAGCGAGTCCGTTCACAAAGTGCGCTGAATCGCAGTGGAATGCCGGGGCAAGGAGGGGAAGGGAGAAACGCAGGGATCCCTTCCTGAAAGAGAAAGGATTCGCGGTTCGGTGCGCACGCGATTTGGCGAAATTGATCGCGAACGCGAACGTTTCTGTCCGTCGATCGGCGATTGTCGCACATTTTATCCCTCTTTCTCCTTCTCTCTCTCTCTCTCTCTCTCTCTCTCTCTCTCGCTATCGTTTTTCCTTTTGCAAATTATTCGACAGATATTCACGAGATATCTCGGCAACGCACGTTTCTCACGTTCGCCGGTTACACGGTCGGCGGGGTTAAAAAAGCCATCGCCGGCATTTGCATTCGATTTTGCAGGGCGGTCCATCGCCGGGGCGATGAGGGATGAGGGTTAAATATTTTTATCATCGATCGATGCGACAAGTCGAATGCGACGCGCCGGGCGGTTATTATAAAAGCGTTTTGCACGCTCTCTCGGCATAGCCGCCGGTACGCGTTCTCGTCTCCGCGCCGCCACGCCTTTTGACCCTCCATCGCTATATATATAATTAGACGATAGGAAAAGGATTAATCGCGCATGCGGTATGTGTGTACGAGGGCGTTTCCGATTAAATTGCCCGTTGCTTCGCCCGCCGAAATTACGTTAATTACAAAACCATCGCCAGCTCACGATCGGCACTCTAAACGATCTCTCTCTAAACGTGTGAGTGCGCCGCCGGCGATGCGCGCGGAAATTTATCCAGCGTTTGATAAATGAATTAAACAATCGACAAATTTTAATTAAGGCGTTCTCCTCTCTCACTCTCTCTCTCTCTCTCTCTCTCTTGTTAGTTTTGCAATAGAAGTAAACAATTCGAACGCGTCAGCTTCAAAAAAGCTGGAAAGGAAAAAGGAGAAAGATAGAAAGGTGAAAGAAATCGCCATCGGTATTTTCATTGCACCATCGTGTTCTTTTTTAAATGTCACCGAAATGTTAAACCGGCCAGCGCTGTCCGAACGCCGAAAAAATCTACCTATTCTTCAAAACGTTAAAACGGAGTCGCTCGCAAAACTAACCGCCCACGTTTCTCGAAGAGGGAGAGAGAGACGCTTCCACGTGCGCTCTCGCTCGCGATGTTTATGCGTTCCGACCGGCGGTATTTTCGTGTCGCGATCGTTGACGGTGAGAGACACGTCGAGAAGGGCGCAACATCGTTTTATTCATTCTAATTAAAGCCTCGAAGAAGTTAATTAAAAATATAATTGATTCTTTCTTTTTTCTCCACAACCTGCCCGCTTCGGCAACCATGTCTCCTCGTTCGAAGCGTGTTTTCTTCACACTCCCGTAGTCCTCTTCTCTTTTTTTTTTCTAAACGAGAAACAAAGGAGAAAGGACGCGCGTGTTTTGCCCCGCGTAAACTATCAAACGATTTTATTTTACCGTTTTCTCAGGGTTGGGAGAGCTTACGCACCGCGCCTCAAGGTAGTCGTATAATAAAGGAAAACCACCCACGTTTGCGCAAACGCGTACGACGGTAACGGGAACACAAGCACCATCACGCATTTCTTCTTTCGGCGTTGATGGGGAAATGACAATCTCTTTTTTTCCCCTCTTCCCTTCTTCCTTTCCCTTTTCTCCCTGATACATCGCGAAAGTGGCTAGTCTCCTTTCTCCCTCCCTTCTCTCGGCCGCTTCTCTCACGGTCGTCCTATTTCCTCCACGAGAAAATACGACCTCCACCACGCGCGACCTCGCATCGAGACGCGTTATCTTACGTTTGATGTACCACTTGATATACCATCCCCTAGGGCTCTCCCCTATGAGCCCCATACGATGCACGTCCGGCATTCACGATGAAACATCGCTCGCCGATGCGCCGCGCGGCACGCCTCCTATCATCGAATCCAGTCGCCCATATTAGAATTTCCGATACTTTCGTACATAGATGTATACGTGTGTGGTTTTGTGTGTGTGTGTATACAATGTACATAAAAAAGCAATAAAATAAATCATCAGCCCTGCCTGAGCTTGCATGAGAGCTTGATCTCGCGAAATTCGTTTAGCATCCTCCGAAAAGAAAAACCCGAACGACCTGTGACCCACAATAAAATGAAAAACCCTATGACTGATAAAGAGAGAGAAAAGAAGAACGGAAAAAGGAAAGCTACCTGCAATTTCAATTTCGGGCAAAACATACCTGCTCGAAAAAGGTCGGTTTTTGCTCTTGACAGTTGCAACGCTTTTCCTTCCTTTTTTTTTCCTTTTTCATATCGAGCTTTCGATCAAATATAAAGAGCGTTGTCAAACTGAGATGCCGCTGTTCTCAGAGAACAATTCGATGTTTGCGCGAGTATTTGCAGGTGGGAAACGAGATCGCGGGGGGGGGAGAGAGAGAGAGAGAGAGAAAGAGAGAGAGAGAGAGAGCGAGAGAGCGAGCGAAGAGGAGGTGGAAGTGAGAGAGGGAGGAGAATTCCCCACTCGTAGTCTGAATGGAAATTCAACAAGTGTCGAGGAGACGAGGACTCGAGGGAACGGCTCGAGCTTCCGCCGTAACTTTCCATACGAGCGGGTATAGTCGCGCGGAAAAGGGGTAAAGCTAACACGAGAATTAACCGCTGGTACTAACGCTCAAAGCGATACCGCTCGCGGAGAGTCGCAATTTGTCTTAATAATTACGCCTGCAAAGCGTTGCTTCCCGCTACCACGGTATAATTATTGCGTAATTACCACGTGGGCCTGAGTCGGGAGGCTTTTAAGTTAATTAGGTAAAGATTGTTGCGGACGAAGTACCCGGAACGTATGGCGAGAGATAAATAGATAGAGAGAAGGAGAGAGAGAGAGAGAGAGAGCAGAGAACATCAAGGACCACGATGGAACTTCAATTTCATTCTCGACAGTGTTTCACGTCTACTACGCAAATTTGCGATGGGGCAGACATTCTGTTGTCTCTTGCGTGCTGACAGAGAAATTTACATTCATGACAATCGCGCTGATCGCCAAGATATCTCTCCCGCGAGCGCGATTATTTCACGGTTCGCATTAACACGCCCTCGTCGACATATAACCTCGTGAATTTAGCTTGATCTTTGGCCTGGCAGATATTTATTACCTAAAATCCTCCAAGCGTGCCTGGAAGGCCTCCTTGCTCACCACGTCGTACGTCTGCGTCTTGCTCTCGTCCCTGGGCACGGAAACCAGCGGCCACATGCTCATGTTGTGGAGATCCTGGTCGGTTATGGAGAATCTCTGCGTCAGGTTCGACCTGATTGCCAAGCATATGAGAGAACAGATTAACGAAAGAGAAAGAGAGAGAAAGAGAAATAGAGAAAGATGGATTGATAAGGGTGGAATTCGCTAAACGTTTCCACTGAAACGTGTCGAGAGCGTCGCGAACAAGATTTGCAACAAGACTGACGCGCTTCTCGTCTCTCCCTTTTATACTCAGTTAAAGTCTTCCAAGAGACACTTGCGACTGTTTCCGGCTGTTTCATGAAACGTTTATTATGCAGAAACGCGTCGCATTCGCGCGTTGCGTCCCGATTGGAAGAATCGAAGGAGCCATTCGTTCTCATCATACTAAATGCGATCAAGAGAGTTACGCTCGATCGAGGAAAAAAAAAACGCATTACATCGCACGAGCACGATCACGTGGCTGGATCAACGGGATTTTAAAACGCTTCGGTAGAGCGATAATTGAACGCTCGGTGAGTATCTGAGAAATAAAAATAACGAAAAAAAAGAAAAAGAACGGGAATAAAAGCGGATTAAATTGGTGTTATCGTATCAGCGAGTTTCACCGAGGGATCCAATTTCGTTATCGGCGGAATATTAAAAAAGGAACGTTCCACTTTGATAAGACAGTGGAGATCGTGTGAGAGTCATCCGTGGAAGACAGCAAGTATTATATGAGCATTACAGTGAATGAGAAACGTATGATAAGAAGATTCGTATCGTCACTAGAAGAAATCGTGAAAATAAGAAACCGTCAGAAACCGTCATACCTCAGAGTGTTGCCGTTGGTGTAGATGAAGAAGGCCACCTCGGATCTCTCCAGCTGCATCCTGGTGACCATTTTACCGAGGTCCGTGGCTATCGTAACCTGCAACCAGAATGTCGTGTTAATCTCTCCGTGGGCAGAGACAAGATGAAAATCGATTCAAGTTAGGTTCAACGGGACAGCGTTCGTCCGGCATCGTTTACACGGGAGTGCCGTGTCTCGTGATCTCGCCCATCGGCCAGGCCGACTTCGTCGATCATCCTACGCAGAGAACCTTCCTGTCTACGAGGTAGGTAGAGGTAGGTAGACGCTCGAATTACTTCGAACGGGGATAATAGCAGATGTCCTCTCGGAACTTCCGTCAGAGAGAAGACAAGGACTAACTGTGAGGCAAGGAAAGCACAGTAGAGTGTGGACAACTTCGAGTGGAGTCCGAACATTCGTTCGGAGCACACACGGAGTGGCCACTCGAGGTATCCGAGTGCCTAAATGACCGTTACCATCCTTGAGACTCGCTCGACCGTTTCGCTCGAAAAGCAGGACGAACGACATGAAAAAGAAATATTACTTGAAAGATATTTATATTGCCTGAGAAACCGAATGATTCTGTTTGTTGAATCAAACATTCGTTTGTTTGCTCTATTGCAAAAGACACATTTGTTTCGCTAAAAGAAATTCTACTAGATCCAAAGAAATCTTTTCCCCATGTATCCTTGGTTTCAATATCGATTTAAAAGTCAAAAGGCGCCGGAGAAGCGAGACCGCGGAGGGTTCATCCGTCCGGGAATTCGCGCGCCAACGTCCAATTCTCGAATTCCTGGTTTGCCGTTTCATCGGGAGATCTCGTTAATTTTAAGAATGCACGCGATCATCCTTGTTGCCATTTCCGATCCGCCAGTTCACGGCGGCAATTAATATTGCATTAATGGAGCCGGCGATGAAATCGCTTTACGATCCTCGTCGATCTCTCCGTGGTAATTAGAGCAGCTGCGAAACTGCATAATCGCAATTACGTATTCCACCGGGGTGCGTCGACGACTTCTCTCTCGTCGTTGACAAGCTCGTCGCTCAAACAGAAGAGCCCACACGCCGAAAGTCATCATCACCGTGGGATTCTGTATCCCACGGCTGAGAGAACGTATAAGCACCACGTGCACATTTCTCACTTACATTCCGCGAACCATCACGAAACTATATAATAGAAAGTTTCCCTCGCTAACAACAACTCGTATACAACAGTGAAATAATCCGCTTCCGAGGCTTCGACAGCGTGAACTCTTTAAGCTCGGTGCATGCAGGCAGCTCGGAAGCCAGGTCAGAAGTCGCCGTTGTTCCGGCAAAGTTGCCGGAAGGATCGGACGGATAAAGCCGAGACGAGCTTACGCTCGATTGAAGCCTCCGGCTGAACCGCGTTTAAATGCCAAGGGAGAATTAAACGCCCTCAAGTGACGTATAACGTTCACGGTATGGAGGACGTACGAACAGGTAATATAATGTAAATGCAGTTTCCGTAGGATGCCGAACCGTAGGATTTAGTTGAGAATCGGTTCGTAGCACACGCTCTTGGCTCTGCCGCCGAAAGAACAAGAAGAAAATTTCCAAGCTTCCTCGCGGCGTGTTAAATTGCGGAGGGTGTGTCGGCGGGGCCGAGTGCATCGACGTGTGCGAAACACTCGCTGGTCTCTACGTGCGAGAACGACCGCGAACAAACATCCGACATCGACGACAATGGCATCCATTCTCTCGACGCTCGTCAAACAGTAATTCGAGATCGAAGACCGCGTTCGAGACCGCTATACACTCCCGGCCGCGATGAATTTCGATTTGATATCCACCCTTCTCCCCGGCTGCGTTCTAATACCTTTGTAAGAGGGAGGGGAGGACGGCTGTTAGGCAGAACATGGAAATTTTCTCTTCGCCGAAGGCACGAGGGAGAGCGAGGGGACGCGCTGATAATTTACATCCGAGACGATGGTGCCGCGCCGCGACGGACTCCGTGAACTCGATCGAATTAAGAAAGCCGTCGTTGAATTGTGGCAAATAAAAATTACAGCGGTTGACAATGCCGCGGACATCTCCGTCCGTTTCCCTCACGGTTTATCTCGCGGGGAACGAAATGAGACGACCCTCGTGCGTTCTATTCTCGCATCTTTGTTCACACATCTGTTGATGTCAAAAAGCGAAAGAGAGGAGCTGTGCTGTGAAATCCACAAAATCCGTCGCGTGGTGTCCTGAAACGAAGTTTCCCCGCGGGGGAAGATCGAACCCATCAGTTACGTCACTGTGTCCCCCTCTCTGTCGCATCGTTTTCTTATTTTATTTCATCATCCCCTGGACGCGCGCGCGCTCACCTCCGGGCGTAGCAAAGGGCGACGGCGACGTGCATACGAGTAGTCGATAATCCGAACGTGCGTGAGAGAATAAAATAAAAATAGCTTCGGCTCGTCGCGCGAACGGCCGTAACGTAATTTCTTTCCCCGGCCGCGGCCGGCGCTGCCGCCGTCGTCGCTACTGCGTCGATCGGAAATCGAATCGCGCGATTTCCAACGAGTGCCCGACGCGTTTTCATTAACAATGGCCTCAACAGCCTCTCTCAATGCGGACAGAAATCGGCCGGCGGTTATCTCGCGGGCGGTGCGTATCTTCGATGCGAAGACCCGGACGAAACGCGTTGTTTTTTCCGCGGAATCGACCGACACAGTTCCGATCTCGCGGAATTAGAACTCGGCTGCGCGAACGGAGAGGGGAGGGGGAGCTCCCTTCAATTTCGAACTCGCAAAACGTCAAACGCGTGCGCGCTCGTGCGCCGAGCGAAGCATTATTTACTTATTCGCCGTAAACCGCGTTGAATTTTCATCTACCCGTTTCGTTTCGCGAAATCGTTGTTGGCTGGATAAACATTAACGTTCCATACGAGAAGCCCTCCTCCCCGGCTCTCGACTCGTACGTGAAATTTGGGAACGACGGACATGATGAAGAGCATGTGGTGGAAGAGGGGAAGAAGGGACTCGCGGAAATTAATCGCTCGGGCAGTCGCTCGCAGTTTAAGTAGAAGCGCCTCGATTATGGCGCGACGCGCTCTATTCAAATCGACGTGCAAGCGTAGGTGCGGTATATTTGCTCATCCCTCTCTCGTTACCTTCGTACGAACCGCCGGCGATCGATCACTCCTCCCCTTCCCCGGGCTGAATTACACCAACCCAGCCTAATTGCACTCTTTACATAATTATGAGGGCGCAACGCACGCCCGTACACACGCGCGGGCGTGCATGTGTGTAACTTCGAGCAACCCTCCGAACTAGTTCGTAAAACCGAAGTTTCAATGAGATTCACGATGGAACGCTATCTATCAGACTTTCATCGCCCGTCGAACCATTTCGACGGGCGCTGTATTCTTCCGAGGAACTTTAAAGCAGACTGGAAGCTACGAAGCTCGTGCGCGTTTCGGGCAGCGTCTTTCGCAAACATCCAGATGGAGCGAGAGATCAAGAGCGCTTAATTTTCACAAGGATTTTACGAGATTCGACGATTTCATTGTATAATTGACTGAGAGTTGAGGCGGGAAAGCTTATCGTCGGCGTATAAGTGTTATGCACAGTAAGCAGATTTGTGTTAAACTCTGTCGCAAAATGTTGAGATAACATGAACACATTATGTTAAATTAACCGCTCATACGGGTATGTTAAAAACTTAACACAAAAATGTTCACAAGGGCCGATTTTAACACAAGTACAGAATGTCCTTTACTGTGAAAAGGTCACGAAATGTTTAACATTTTCTATACGTTAATGCTTTCATTCTTCATCTTTCAATGAATGTAGAATATATTGACTATCGCTCACCTGCGATTCTATGTCGGACACCTCTTGGCGGTAGATGAGGATGTCGTGGAGGGTGTTCGCGGTCTGCACGATCAGGGCGAGGATCGGTATGAAGGGTAGCACCAACATCTGCAGCAGCTGGATTCGCCGGCCGCGACGGTGAGCCGGGTCGGTCGCGCGGGCCCAGCACGATTTCTTCCGGTTCGCCTTGGTCGTCGAGACGTCATCCGACGAGAGGCTCCTCACGGAGCTCACCTCCGCCACGCAAGAGCCGTTGCGCGGCGACATGCTGGAGGGACACGACGTGGAAATGAGACGTATTAGTAGTAACTCGTCGAGCCGAGTTCTCTCCGAGCGGCGGCGACTTATCGGAAAAAGGCGAAGGGCACTTTGTTTACCCGATACGCGTGCCGCGCGGGATGTCTCGAAAATCCTGATTTATTATCGGGTTGGGGAATGAAACGGGAGGGAAATCGCGCTACAGCGCTTCCGGAGAGTGTGTCGAAAAATCCGCGCGAGTCGACGAGAATCCGAGCGACTCCGGGGATTCTCTCTTTGACACAATCGAAGGAATTCGAAGATCGATGATTCGAGAATTTCATTTGACAATTCGCCTATGCGCCCGCACACGGAGAAGCATGCACATACACAAACAGAGAAGCCTCGGCGAGTTTAACAAGGATTTAACAACGCTTCGATATAAACGGTCGCATAATCGGAATTCAAGCGCGAGGAATTCGATTAAAAATCTATTATCAAGCCGATTGTGGCGCGGTGAATTGTCCGACGAGAGGCGAGCTTTTATCTCCGACTTGTCGACGATACGTCGCCCCGCATGTCCGAGCGCTTTCGCAGTAATAACGACAAGCTGCCGGATATAACAAGCCCGCGGACCCCGTAATTAAACGCGACGGGCGATGGAGATGCTTTACCGCGCGCCATCGAGGAAGAATGCGCGCCGATTGTCCGGAGTTTCTCGCAATGTGCGAACATGAAAAGGTGTAATTAGAACCCGATAACAGAGAGCAAATGCGCGACCGTTTGGTGCACGATACTTTTCACTTTATTATTGTTATTATTGTTGTTATTATTGTTATTATTTTCATTCAATCCACCGTTATTTTTTACATAAGATCCAAGAGTGGGAGGAGTTTCCTCTCAAATCGAGAGACGCCTCGTTCTCTCGTAAGCGTAAAGTGCAACGGAGAGGAGGAATCCGGATCGCACGGTTAGCGGCAGGCAGGGGGGAGGGTTCTCGGAGGGTGAGTGAAATAAAGAAACCGCGGCCGTTTTCACTTCTCGTCTCGTTATCCACGGAATTCACGCGAGACGGGCAAGTAAGAAAGTTAAGCGATCGTGCACAATGAAGCGCGGTGTCTTTCACTTGGTCACGTCTTTGATTCAAAGGCGGACCGTGAAGTCAAAAGCTGATCAGCTGCGGCATTCGCACTCGCTGAATAGCGTCTGATTGTGCACGCGATCGCCCTTATATATCATCAGCGAGGAAAAATTAATAACCGGCCGATATCTTTCTACCACTCGTGAACGTGGATCGACGTGGAGGAAACCGCCGTCATCCGGGGCCGAAATTACCGTGGTATTAATTTCGCGTTGGAGGATGGATAAAAGGCGCCGTCTAATGCTTGAGAAACTAATCGATAAGCCATGTACATACAAGGCCCCCTTTTACGGTTCATTTCCAGGTAGGCCTCGAGATGTCTCGGACAAATCATAAAAGAATTTATTTGTGCGAGGGAATCCTCTCTTCTACTTTAAACTTGAATGAAGCATTGGCTGCGTTCAGGAAACACTACAGTTGAGTGAGCGCTCTTTCACTGTCATTGGAATATTGAAATTTATATATAGATTTATGATGTACCCAAAAAATACCTCAATCAAAAGCAACAAGCAATCACTCAATGGTTGCACAATCATTGTATTTTCTGAACTCGCTCAATCACTCTTGCGATTTCGAATGGCAATATTTTCACTATCACTTCGAGTGAAAATACTGCCACTTTTCATATGTTTTGAACATAATTCTCCCTTCCCGACTTCAAGAAATATAGAAAAATTTTTAGATGAAATTACAATCTCTTTTTCTACTCTTCCTCCTCTTCTTTCGGTTATCTCAAAAATTCCGGAACATCGCAAAGCCTCGGGCAAATCAGCGCCGCAAATTCTCCACAGTCTCGGGAATCTTCCTCGAGTCACCTCGATAACCGATCCTAGACCACGAGAACCGTGCACCACTATGTTCACCATCCTCTATACTCTTCATCGCCGTGCGTAGTAACACGGTAATAAACTGGTACTACAACGTCGTCGATGCATAATCTAATAGTGTGTCGGCACCGCCGCCCGCGAGGGCAAGAGAAGGGCGGTCGACCTATGCAAGGCTGTTAATTGCAGCGGCAGCGTCTTCGTCTACTCTCTCGCGTTGCGTTACATCGCGTTGTCACCGACTTGTTGTTCTAATATAACATCGAAATTATCAACAACTTTGATCGATCTTGCGTAATTATCATTAAAAATATAAAATGCACTATTCCTCCACTCGCGTTTTATATTCCCCGTGTTTAACTCTCTCCAGATAAATGAATCGTCGCAAACCGTTGTCCCGGGGACAAACTTGCAATTTCGAGTGGGTTCACTATCGCTTCGAGTGAAAATACCCGCGATCTCACTTGTTTTGAATGAGATTCCACTTCAAGAAATTACGAGAGTGGCATCTTTATACGACAATAATGATAATTTGGAGTAACGGCGCGACATAATATTTTTCCTTTCCGATGAAATAACGAAGTTGTTTCACAAACTTAAATTAGCTCGAAATACGAAATGACTTGCCGTAATTACCAAGATAATACCTATAAAGACGGGTTTACTCGATAAGTCGTAGACTTGCGGAAATAGCCAATCTATTTTTTTCCCCTGTACATACATCGACGACGTGCTTCGATGAAGGAACGACGATGTCTTGTTTAGGGATGGCGAACGTGGATCGCGCACGTGTGAGTGAGTGGGTGAGTCAGTCGATGCGCTGTGTACGGGGCTAGTGAATCTGTTATAAATGTGTCTCGGGTTTCACAACGACCATCGTTCGAACATCGGGGAAACATTCCCGACGACGCGAGAGGCGTATTCGCGCCGCTAATGAGTCGAGTAACCGGAGACCCGGGAATTTGCGAGTAGAAACGAGAGGAGGAAAAAAGGATGAAGAAAGAGAGGATTAGGAGAACTTAGAAAGTCAGAATGAGAGTTGAAGATCCGAAGATACTGGGCGAGAATCCGCGATTATTTTTCCTAATATCCGCGATCTCCTTGAATTTCGCGGTGCCTCTGAAAGGCCGAAAGTTAAAATTCGCCCAACTAGTATTTGCCTCGCTAAATGGATCGAGAGATCCACTGTAAATTGAATAGAGGAATTCAAGAATTTCGAGGTATCCTATGCGCACGAATCTAGGTCGAAATGTCACACGATCTACGGGAAATAAATTCGACACCGAAAGAGACCGCCACAGAGGAATGCGATGCAGTTACAAAGCTGGCATTTTTGATAATTCATCCGGCTCACTCAAACGTATTTTCGTGATGCGTTATATTTTGTATTCGTTTGAAGCATTTCGAGCGAAAATTCGAATTGTTGAAATTTGCTGTACGAATAAGTTATGAAAATGAAATATGTACAAAAGGATGTGTCGTGTAAAGCTTGAAATTAATATATTAATGCATTCCACATAGCAATTGGATGTAAAATACATACACACATACGTGCAACATCAATGAAGATAAAATAAATATACGTTCAAAGCAGTATTAAGCGTAAACACACAACAAATATTTGCGTGAATTTCACGTGTATGCGTAAAAATATATACAGATATATGCATATCTCATTTATACATGTATGTTTATAGCACCAAGTTGCATATTATATTATACGAAATTAATATAGAACCAACGATTGATGATTAACTCTCAATATCCAATAAATATCGCGTTCGGTCAAACATAGCCTGATGATGTAATTTCTCTTTCGGATCGAAAAGCGCTTCCCGTCAGCCGCCTATGCCGCGCGTATCCCAAACCGACGGGATCCACGCACTGTGCCATCATTGGAGCGATCATTCGTTACGGCGACCCTTCCTCATACGAAGAGCTTATCGCGAGCAATAACGACCCGCAAAGCTGTCGGAAGCTGCTTTTCGATATTGAGTTGGGATTAGCGTTAGGAAACCGAAAACAGTCCAGTTGCCGTTGTCCATATGTACCGTGAAATCATATCCTCCCGCAATTGCGTAACGGAATCTCGGGCTCGTTTGTCTTGTAATGCGAGGAAGAAAACGAGAGAGAAAAAGGGAGAGAGAGAGAGAGAGAGAGAGAAAGAACGCCTCGCATATAAGAAGGATTAATTATACTTCATTCTCTCTATTCGCAGGCGGATTTATTCGCACTATCGCTGAACGCTGTTTTATCGGAAAATCCTACGCGGCTTCCTCGCGCACTCGGAAATTAATTGTTTCGCGTTGTCGTACATTCACGCAAATATACACGTGCACAGCTCGGCTAACCCGGAGTGCAGGTAAGTGCATGCAATGCTTACAGTTTAACACCACGGTGTTGAAGTCCGCGGCTCGTTTGTGGTCGTAAAACTTAAGCTACTCGCTCGCAGTGCGCTTCAAGTCGTTCGCGATACTAAATCCCGGTGTAAAGCTACGGTATAGAAGAAGTTCTGTTTTAGGGATCTTAAGCGCGAAGCCCTTCGATCAGCGCACAATTGATTTCTCCTCGGCGGAAATAAGGGAGACAGGGCAGGTCGCAGCCGAGCGTTTTCATTATGTTTATGTGAGAGAAACGGTAAAAAGAGCATCGCAAAGTGTTCCTTTCAAAACACAGCCGCTTCTTCCCCGAGTTTCATTAGAATCGGAAAAAAGTTATAGAGATATACTATATTTTTATAAGATTTCGGAAAGAAATCAGTTTTTTTTCTCATTTTTCCGCGGATTTCTTCGGTTTCCGACCCATGGGTCACAAAATTCACTTAGAAAAATTCACGTGTGCTCGGTTAAAACCTGCCACATTAGCTTTTTACGAGTAGAGAAAATAAGAAGCGAAAAAAGAAAAAAAACCCACGGTAAATGGGGAAAAACAGGTTTAATCCGAAACTTTAAAACTGCAGCAATCGTAGCTCAAAATGAAATAAATCTGAGTGTGATCCGGGAAATCTCAGCACCGGAACTCGGGAAAATTCGCGAACTCGCCGCAGCCTGCCCCATCGCGCAAGAA